AATATATATATATATATATATATATAAAGTTGGCTACACCAAACCGATACTTCTCACTCTTGGGCACCAATAAGAGGCGAAGGGTCAGTCAGGTTTCACTCGCATAACGTAAACCCCATCTGTGGATCATACGCTTTTATTCTTTGCTGTAGCAAAAGGGTTTCATCTACATTCATGGAAGAGATCATGCATTACGACCGATTCTCGTGATTCGCTGCAAAAACCTTGTAGATTCTCAAGTGGTGAGTTCGATACAGTGCATCACCAACGTTTTTAGTGCTGCTAAGTCCCCATCATCTCCAAACCGTGTAATGCATATGTGAGCGCATGCGAGAAGTGCTCCAGCAAACACATCAATACTGAACCTGAACTATCCGGGGAAGTTGTCACCTGCTGTGTGTGTGTGTGTGTGTGTGTGTGTGTGTGTGTGTGTGTGTGCGTGCGTGTGTGTGTTTTTTTTTTTTTTGTGTTTGTGTGTTTGTGTTTGTGTTTTTGTGTCTGTGCGTTTGTGTGCTGGTGTGTTGGGCGGTTGCGTTGATGATTGCTGCATCTGCAGGGAGACGTCATGCCGGTTGTTATTTACTGGCTCGGTTAGTCACGAGTAGTCTGTAGTAGGTTGTATTTGTCTTAATCTGTATTTTGTGCTATGCTTTGCTAAGAGAGCAGAAGCACCAGCCCTGAGCTTTGGGGTCACCGTTGCATTGCGGTTTAGGGGCACGCATTTTGACAGGTCCACATGCCACAGGGCATGGATGGATAGCATTTGCTCAAAGGGCATTCGTGTTGTAAACATAGATCCCTGCGCTGTCTCAGAATTTACTCTGGAGAAGTTGCTGGTGAAGAATAAAGTGGAACAGTGGCGCGTGGTTGTTGACTTAGAAGACTGCAGCATTACGAGCACCCCAATAGGCATTCTGAAGCAAGTTTGTGACACGCTGACTGTGAGTATTACAAATGTGGTTATTCATGACATTCCTGGTGTTCAGCAGTACAGGCGGAGAAACCAATTCACGTGTTGTAACTGCAGGCTGTAAACGTGCAGCTTGGACAGTGTATCTCACACGAGGTTTGCTCGCTTTTTTCATTGTATGCGCACGGTGCATATTTAGCACACGAGTCTTCTCTGTCAGGCACGAGAAGCAGCTTCAGTAAGACTAGAGGTCCTCCAGAGAACACGTAGGCGTAGTTGACACATGAAATATTGATTTCACAGCGTTTCCTACTGCCTGATGTATTTTCTATACCTACGGCACTGGATACGATGATACTATATGGATTCGGGGACACGAATTCTTGTGACTCCGCGTGTGGCACAGAGAAATTACCGCGGCAGGCTATATGGGATGCTGATCTTGAATGCGGGCTTTGTATTCCGAAGCATATGGCAGCTGGTGTCTGTAGTCCTTCCGGAGAGGACAAAATCCAAGATAAAGCTGACGCCGTCTTGTACTGATGTGAGGAGCTCCTCTGCTCTCGTGGGCTCGGCTCAGTCTTTCGGTGCAGTTGCGCATGCCCCCCAATCTCAGATGCTGGACATTATAAAGTTCAAAAGCCTATTTGTTTACAGATAGTACTCATCTTGCCAGCAAGAAAGCACCGCTTGCATGTTCTTCAGCTGTTACTTTGACTGGATTTTGCAGGATGACTTCCTGGCGTCAGTTAATCAGAATCAAATTGAAGGTAAGCTGCCTTCATGGTGGATTCCGGTGCTTGTTGCACCCTTCCTGAAGACGGTGCACTGTGTTCACGGTATTCTTGTCAGCCACTAGCTCACCGCTAGTTATCCGCAGCTCCTGAGCGTATGTGCTCGTGCCCGTGCTGCGCAGAAAGATACGGGGGCACATGTTCCAATGTCAAGGACTTTTCTTGGCCAGTGATGCCGCCCGGCCCTTTTGGATGCTAGGCATGATCGATGCGACCTCTGCTCTTGCACAATTTTTTCCGTCCCATTACCTGACTCTCCCATACATTCGTAACGAAGTGCCGCGCTAATTGTCACGAGCAACTCTGGCAGCTTCTGGAGTATGTACATCGTTACGTGAGCAGATGCCATTGGCGGCCACACCTAGTTAAAGCGGAGGTGCGTATGCCTGGACTCTGACTGCCCCCGCAGGCTGCTTGCTGCTACAGAAAATATCCCGCTAGTGTGGTAGAGCAGGTACTATTCTGGGCAGTTGAACAAACGTCAATGAAACGCCACCTGGCAAACGCAGTCTTTTAGAGGCATACGCAAGCCTTATACCGTTGATTCAGTACCAGCATATTCTGGCCCCTGAACAACCTGTTGTTGGCCGTCTCCCCCGTGGTGTTCTCGGGTCACTGGGGTGCCGGTCACGGTCACGGGGGGATCGGCGCTCTTGCTCAACGGGACTCAACAAGCGACGAGGCAAATGCGTCCCCCGCTGAGAACGAGTAAAGGACTGTACAAAACAAGCACCTGCGCAACTACTGTGGTGCACAGGCTCCCTAACTCAACGGACAAGAAGCCCAGCGCTAAAGCGAGGAGTGTCAATCCTCTGCAGTTGCAACTGGGCACGCCGCCCCTCCACATGTTGTGGGAACCTGGCGGTCACATGCAGAAATCAATTTGCAGCGTTTCAATGTAAACAATGCCGTGAAATGCACCTGCTTGGGAATTCATCCAATCATTCAAAATCCCCCTTGAGATCGGCGTTTCCGAGGGGCCGATGGCGACTGCAGTAGAGGGTCAGGTAACCGACAACCTATATCGCTGGCCTTGCATATATTTGGCCCCTCTCCGCCCGTTATTAATCCTTTCGTCAACGAAACTGGCGTTCGTTTGGCTTGCCCCCCACGAGGAGGTTGCAGTTGCTGCTGTTTGGGTGGCTGTTGCGTCGGAAGCTCCTGCGAGATGGACTGCTGGTGCTGCTGCTGCTGCAGGCAGATGTCAATTGCTTTATAGAGGGCCTTTTCTTTCAATATTGCGAGTTCGCCAAGCAGCACGTAATACTGTCTCCACCATACACAGCTGCCCTTGCCTTCATGAAAGAGTACCTCTTGCTGCTCTAGATGCAGTTGCGGAGCGCAACTGCAGGTAAAGTCTGTCACCTGAACTGCGCCCTTATGTATATGCTCAGTGGTGGCAGCTATCGCTGTTGACCTTGTGACGCTATGATCTGGGAAGTCCCTCTGAAGCAATTTTAGAAGAAGCTGCTGTTTCAACGTTCTTTGCATTTCCACCAAGTTCCTCATGACTTCCTGTAGCTGCTCCCCGACTACAGTTACGAGCGCAAAACAGCGTATAGCCGTCCTCTTGCTGCTGTTGTTGGTGCATGCGGACCGATTGCTGTGGGTGCTGCAGCAATCAGCGTCAGAGAGTACTGACCATGCTGCACTGTTTGATTTAGGTGCAGCATTGGATGCCCATTTGCAAACGTTCCGAGCTGGCGGCCCTGAAGACGATGCATTCTTGCAGCCTTCACTCTGACTGTGTTGCAGAATCCGACGCTGCTGCAGTAACAGCTGCAGCGCCCGCGTGCAAGAACATCTGGACGGCTTCACTGCAGCAACGGCGCATGCACGCAGCAGCTGCGCCTCATGAGGGTGCAACCGTATTTCCTCAGCTTGTTGGGACCACCCGGCATCATCGGAGGCGGTGAAGGGAGCTCTTACGTCACTGCAGCAGGCACTGCTGAAATCGGCGTTAGTTACTGATGCTGGATGGCCCCTAGCAGCTGGCAGAGCTCTGTCTGCCGCTACGTTAACGCCTCCCGTCAATCCAGGCAGTAGTGTTGACAGCCGCGGCCTTTTTGGCTGTTGTTCGAAGGAAGCTGCAGCAAATTCCTGTCTACAGGGCGTACCCAGCACACCAACTGAGGTGGTTATTCTTTTTTGGCGTGTTGCGTTGTCGTTGTCATCGCTTTCCCCAACCACTGTTGCTATTGCAGTTACGGGTGCTCGTGCTTGCTTTCTTGAAAACAGCGAGTCCCGTAAATACAGTTTCTGCCGCTGTACCTCCAGAAGCTTCTCGAAATGACGGCGAAATGCTGCTTCCAAATATTTCGTCTCCAAAGCAACGCCAGGGCCCGGACCCAAATGGGCTTGCGTGGGCTGAGCTGGCTCCTGCTGCAGTTGCTGCTGCAGCAGCTGAAGAGCATCAAATGCATCCGCCAAAGGGCATTCCACCATACCCCTCCTAAACATCGCTTCAGCCCCTGCCAGTGGAACAGCAGGGTTTGCAGCTTTTGCTGTTTTCCAGTCCTGCATACAACGTTGCTCCAGCTGCTGCTGCTCCTGTTTATCGATAACCTGCGGCATGCACTACAGAGCAATAGCGGCGTACATCACTATGGGGTGCTGCACTTCAGCCCTCCTGAATACTTAATACTACTAGTAACTACGCGTTGCAACAACGGGAAAGGACTATTTACGAAGTGGCTGAGCACTTACGGTTATTAGAGGCATTCGCTGTTGCATGAACACTTCCTGCTGGAGAAGCTGCTGCTGCACAGCCAGCGGGAAGCTGCAGCGGAGCAGCTGGAGCAGCAGCGAATCGCTGTAACAGCAAGTTGCGCAAAGGGGTGAAAGACAAGGCAAAATGACCACTTCTTCTCCACTTCTTGCGCTGTCACCGTACCGCGAGGGCTCTCCCCCAGCAGGCAACCTTGCTGGAGCTGCTGACGAAGCAGCGGCTGATGGCCCATATCGCCGAATGGGTCGAGGGAGCCTCTTCCGCTGCAGTTGTTGTTGCCCCTGGCAGCAGAACTGCAGCTCTATTCTGTTACTTCTGGAATAAGGAATAGAAGGGAGCATGGCTGCCAACGCAGCCGCCGCCCCACCAATGCACACAGTACAGTTGCTGTTGCTGCTGCTGTTGCTGGTGCTCAGCCGAATGCACCGGTTAGTCTGCGTACAAGGGCACTGGTAGGGTGTGTTTTTCGCTGCATTTTCTTTTCCTGCCGCTGCTGTTGCTGCTGCAGTGGTTTGCGTCTGGTTGTCGTACCCCTGCACGCTAACATCTCTAAAGTGGGCCAGGAGTTCTTCTGCACGTGCAGCTGTGATGCCCTCCTGCTGCTGCCCTTGCATCAATGAACCACGTTCTAGAAGTTGGTCGACTTGGAAGGCAGAGAATACCCGGCGAAGCAGGAGTATTTGCTGCTGAGGATGAGCTGCACTCATCAGCTCCACTCGGGCAGCAGCAGCTGCTGGTTGCTCACTACTGCCTCGGTACAGCGGATAGCAGCACCCAGAGCAGCAGCAAGGCATCTTCTGCTCCTGCTGTGTAGTAATCGCCTCCTTTTGCCGGGACACGCCATGCTGCAACATGGAGACTGCTGCAACGAATATTTGCGCCATTTGCTGCAACCTTCCAGCAGCAGCAATCCTACAGGTAGCACGCCCACAGCTACATTTCTTCAGCCCTTACTTCTCCAATTAAGCAACTCCACCGATGATGAAATATGTTAGCAAACGACGCTGCATATTGGGGCAAATCGATACCGGCTTTCGATGAAAAAAGCATACAGACTGCTCAGGGTCAAAACGTCCCAAGTAAACTCACGAGTGTAGGATTCTGTCGGTGCGGCTGCTGGCAATGCCCTTCAACAGTAGCAATTGTTGTCTTTGCCTCTGCTGCACGTCGGTAGCATGCTGCTGCGCGCCTTCCAATAACCAGTTGCTGCCTTCAAAGTGCCTGCTGTCCAGCCCTGATTGCTGGTGCAGCAGCAGCTCACTCTGCAGCTGTTCTTCCAGGCTTCGTTGCAGATGCTCCTCCCGCCTGTTCATCATACATTCCATGTTGTGTAGCTGTTTTTGCTTCTCGCGCAGCTCTCGTCTAACCTTCTGCACCTTGCTGTCGATTTCAGAGTTCCGTCGTACTGCTGCTGCGGAAGCCACCTCCACAGCAACTGCTGCGGTCGCTTCCTTCAACAACGTCTGCTGCCTCTTGTTCTCCGCCCAGTATTGTACGGACAGCTTTTGCACAAGCGCATGATGCTCCTGAAGATGTTGTTCCTCTAACAATCGTGCTGCTTCCTCAAGGAGGCTTGCTTGTGACTCCCGACACTCTCCATGCCTCCGCTGCAGCAGCTCAACGAGCTGCAGCTGTTGCCGCAACAACAGTCCTTGCTGCTGGTGGTGCAGCATCAGCTGCAGCATTTGTAGGGTCTCCTGCTTCGTATCCTGCAGTGCTCTTAACAAATCCTTCCTCTGCCTCTGCAGCTTACTAGGATGTCGTCGTCGCTGCTGCTGCTGCTGCAGAAGTTCCTGTAACTGCCCCTGTAGCGAGGCCAGCTGCCACTGCAGCTGCTTCATCTGCATCTGCTGCTTGCCTTCGAACCTGCACTCTCGTGTCACACTGGCCGAGTCAGCAACAACAGGATCCACGAGCTGCTGTTCAATGCAATGGAGCTTCCGCTGCTGCTCGAGTTCATGCTGTGTCTCCGTTTTCGGAATCTTCTGGTAAATAAATCCAACATGGCTTTCTGCACTTGTGCCCATACGCATGCTTAGCTGAGAGACGCACACGCAGCACCCGACCCTGAGCCTTGTGACTACCATTCTTGACAGGAATTCTGTCTGTAAGTGACTGAAGCAAATATTATTTAGGATATAGAACTGAATGTTTACTCTGGTCGCAAGGACGGCCTGCATCCCGAAATTTGAGATTAGGTCCCCGTGAAAAGAAACAAACACAAAGGTAGTCTTACTCCTGCAAGACAAACCAAATTCCAAACCTCCAGCATACGCCATCGACATCTGTTTCGGCATTTGTGCCAACCGAATACTCCTTCGGAGCAACTCTCGACCACCAGACGTAATAGGATTAAACCCCATAAATGGCACCACAATCCATTAGCCGGACTCATCATCTGAATACTTCCTTAAAGGTAATCTAATCCTCCATGAGTCTAAAACAGAAGGATTTACGTCGTTATAATGTCATAGGTTTTGCTGTAAGTCCTCAGCAACAACACTTACTGGTTGAAGAGCCGAACCGTGTGTGCCATTACCCAAGGAGGCATCGCCAAATCAAAAGAGAAGACATGAGAAATCCCCTCGAGGGAAGAAAGACGGGCGCAGTCAAATACGCAAAACGTTGCGTTGAACCCGAATGTCGTTTCCAGCAAACTACGCTCAGCATGACCCACAGCCACGCAAGTAGCAACTGCTGCTGTTGGTGGCGCTTGCGCACCAGGGTAATCGCGGTCCCCTGAAGCAGACGGAGAATCTAAAGTCGTTTCCATGCATTCGCAGCACTCCCTCCGAGCCTGTCCCTGCTCCTGTGCTCTAGTGGCTGCGCCTGAAGCACTGATGCCATAGGGCTGGCACAGGCCGGTTAGAGCAGAATTGATAAACTCCTCCGTACGATGCCAGTTCAGCTGAGCCCCAAGGTACAGCTGCTGCAGCAGCAGCAGATCAACGAGTGCTGCAACACACAAGCATGGGTGTTGAGTCCATGACCTACAAGTTGAAGATAAACCCTTCTACGTGAAACTGTACGCCACAAACAATTTTGGTTTGCATACATAAGTGATTTATGACGGAGATGGAGTACACATTCGAGTCCAACTCTAAGCCGAGTGTGAAGGTACAGCCGAATGCTGCCGCTGCCAAAGAAGGAACTCCGCTGCCGCTGAGCAAAACCGCAGACAAGACATCGACTGGCATTACTACAGAAGTTTCTGCTCAACGTCTGTGAAGACAGCAAGATGTTGAAGCACGCCACAGCGTCATACGCATATACCACCAGCATTATGGAGCTCCTGGAACACCTAGCGTGTTCACTCAGTATAGGAGCCACCAACAGCATCATAACAGGAGCACCGTAATATCGAGCTACCGAAATTTCTGGAAGAACCACTGGTGCACAATCACTCTTGCATACAGAAATGACAGTAGCAACATACGGCAAAAGCCAACGCCAGACCTGCCAATGTCGAGGAAGGTGGAGTGTTCGTTGAGACCAAAGTGCTTGTTTAATATAGAAAATAACTTAAACAGAGACGAGACAGAGCTCTCCCCGTACGCCCCTGAAACGGGAGAAGTCAACAGCAGCATCAAACGCCGCGGAAAATGTTGCAATGGACGCAAAGCAAAAGGCAAAGGAACAACTAAAATCTCAACAAAAGAGAATCAATGAACAGATAGCAGGCAATTCTGCTTCACAACCGGCAACAATATCAAAAATGCGTGTATGCGCACTACACACGCACAAGGGCGCCAAGAGGACCTGAAACTTGCCTTCAACACTGGTTGTAATTTTCATAATGGGCTTCTTCTGAAGTGACTTAACCTCTGCCAAGAAGCCCTCACGTAAGGCTACAGGCATTCGTGGGATCGATGATCCCCAACGTGCTGCTTCTACAGCGGATGATGTGGAGGGATGTTCAACTTCAGCGCTGCCTACAGTAACTGCTGATGAGTAGCATGAAAACGCCTTCGACTTCGTTGAGCCTTCCGCTTCTTGAAGCGCGGAAGCCGGTCCCGCAAGTCCAAGTCCTGCAACATCTGGTGCGTCCACATCTGCCGCAAGCGCATCTCCTGCTGTATCCCCAGCTGCTAATGATGATGCCTCTGCTCCTGGCAACAGCGCAGATGCGATTCCATGCAATGTTCCGTGCTTCCTGCCAACTGGTTGTGTATAGTCCTTCCCTCCTGCAGCTGGCGCTGGTCCCGGTACTTCCGTGCCTGCTGTTACTGCGCACCCGAGCGCTGATGCGCCTTCTGCCTCAGCTTTTCTCGCTGTTTCTGCAGCAACCATGCTGTCCACACGGTGCACTGGAGGGTTGAAGCCCATACAAATTTCACATTCAACTTCAGTACATCCTTCGCCAACAGCCACCGAAGCTGTCGTTCCGACCGCTGCAGCCGCAGCTGTTGCACCAGCAACGGGCTGTACTCCACAAAGCATTGCCTGTGATAGCTGATCTGGTCCAGTAGCTGCATCACCAATAGTGTGGCTATGCTGCTTCTGTGTCTGCGGCTGCGGCTGCCCCAGGAATTCGGGTCCTTCCGCGCCACCAGAGTGACACATGACTCCCGCGGCCGTCACACCAGCCGATTTGGCCAGTTTTAATCTTGATGAAAAACAGATTTTAGCATGCCGGTGCTGTTTCGCCTCTGCAAGGGCAACTTTGCCGCAACTCACCTTCGAGCTGCAGGAGGAGGCGCTGGCACGTCCTTGCAGGTGCACGCATCAGTCACGGGGATAGGCTCAAGAGTAAAAATTTCCCCAGAGTCTACAAAATTGGCACACTAACAGCTGCAAAAGTGCGAGTAGTACTGGTGAGGCGGTCCACTTGTGTCAAATATACAGGTAGTGAACGCCCATAGCTCGACGGGAAGTCGCGCCGCTCGGGGATCCTTTGCAGCCGAGAGCGGACGTAAAACCACTTTTAAAACGGAATAAAAACCAAACTGACTACTTCAAATGGGGAAAGACATCCAAGAAGACGAACGGGGCCCGCTGTTGGCGTGTGTTCCGATCCGGTCATTTGGATGGGGGCCCCGGGGTCCGCTGAGGCTGCTGTTGATGCTGCCAGTGTTATTTTCAATGTTCTGCCATAGAAAGCGGTTATACACAGTATTTCTCGCATTACTTGACAACCTGTTGGGGCTTACACGGCCACAGTACCTTAGGGCCTGGAAACCCCCACGGACGCTGTGCTGCAAAATTGCGTCTCTCCGCTTACTGCTTGTAGTGCACTTCGTAGTGGATACAGGGGCTGCAGTGCCTCCAGCCTTCTACAGTAATTGCCAAATCAGAGTGAGTGCTAAGCTGCTGAAGGCTTTTGCCGTAGTACTGTCATTCTGAGGGCGGTGTATGCAACGTGTTAACGCGGCTCATCGATCATATCTGGGGACAATTGCTAGCTCCAGTGGAGACAAAGTACGCCCCGTCAAAATACGTGAGAGTAACTTAAGTGCAGCTTACCTACCTTCACCGTCTCCAAGCGTCCTGAGATCAGCGGGAAAAGCGCCTGCAGCGACGGGGTTGGCTGCTTGTGAGCAACGCAGAGTGCCGCATCTCAAGGTGCAAAACAGCCCCTCAGGAAAGCACAAATAAGCCTTTGTGACTCTGTGCATGAACTCTGTATTTATCTGTTGGAAACATTTGCTTGCGTACCATTTGCGTATTAGGGCCCGATCAGGGCTTATGCGCCAGACGGACATGCCCAAGTCATAAAGAATGTGCTGCTCCGTGCCTGCCCCCTTGGCACAAGCAGCATATGCCCGTATATACCATTATCTGGCATGAAGATAGGTGTATTGGCCGATTGTTCACCTAAGGCCACCTTTAGCTGCTGCTGCTTTACACGCTTCGAGTCCGTTTGAACAACACCTCAAGCACCTATTCAGTACGTTGCTTGTCGAGGCAACTGGAACCTGGTGTCATAGAAGCTGAGCAGAAGGCTGCTTGCATATATGCAGAGCATGGCAAATTCTTCAGCGCACTGGTGATCCTGTTTATTTTGCTTGCTCGGTGTACAGCTCCGAACTCTGCCGTAATCCAAGGATATCCAAACAAGGGATCGTGCACGTTCGCCGTCTTTAGAGAAGGTAAAGTAGATCCCAGCAGAGGAATAGTTAGCACATCTGAGCATATAGACTGCAGCGTATTTGGGCCTCCTGGGTTGTGAAACAGCAATGAGTACGGAATATTCAGACGAGGGCCTACCTTATAATGCACTGCCTGCATTGATGTCCGTAGTAGCCACCGACAAAGCACTAATGAGCTGTAGATCGAATAGGAATAGCTTCACGAAAAGGACCATCAAAACCACTCAATATGCCCTATTCCTGGCCAATAAACGTACTAGTGTCGCTTTCAGCAGTCCCCACGAAATGTTTCACGAACTTTTAAGGTTACAAACTCCCACCGTTGAGACTGGTCACCACGACGTTGCTGACGTTTTGCAGGTAGCTTTCCGGGGTAGTTCAGCCTTCTCCTGAACCCTCTGATGCAAACAAGAGTAGTCGCATGACGAATGCCCCAAGTTGAGAGTATGTCGACGATGATGACCGAAGCACTGACCTGGGAGCAAAACAGCAGAAGCTCCTAATCGGCAGGCATCGACGCTTTTCAGCAGCTCGCTATCCTGCGCGCTTCGGATGGATTCCGAAAAAGCCAAAAACAAGTCGCAGGAGGCGATGTAACTTCTGAACGTCAATTGCTGGAACTTGTATCCTTGTATTCATGCTCTTTCCTCTTACATTCCCGCGCTGGTGGGATCCGTCTAAGGGCGTACGAGGCTTCGGATATACGGTTCGGGTTGCCAGCCAGATTTAATATCGGCGCGGCCAGCGGTGGCCCCGTAGAGCAGGGATGCCGGAGAGCCACGACTGGAGGAGTGCATTGCTGTATTATAAAACCGCTTAGCGTACAGAAGGAAATGCAGCCACTTTAACTATTTCTGCCGGGTATAGATTTGCATATATTAATCCAGTGTGAGTTTGATGCGTTTGTTTTGACTGTCTGGCTTCGGAGTGTTCTATGGTGGTCACGGTGCGGTTGGTCCTAACCAGCAACATGGATTTGCTCGAGAGGGTGCTACCCAATTTCAAATTTCGGACTCCTATCAGTGCTTGACCTTTGCTGAGTCCATTCGTTAAGATAAGACCGTTGTCTCCTGCCGACGGTAAACCCACAATGAGATTTTCTGGGGCATCCACCTCGAGTCGTCCGGGAACCGAAAGACACTGCAAGAATCCTGCTTTGAGTGCGCTCCGCGGCTCTTCTACTGTCATTCCGGGAACATGAGAACGCATGAGTCTGCTGAAGCACGCACCCTAGACCACAACAGAACCCTTCCACTACCTCCACTGTTGGATTGATCACACCATGGCCTGCTAAAGCATCATCGTGCTTGCTGCATAACACATATGTACACAGTGAACCTGGAGGCGCATCCGGTGTACTCCATTATTCGTGTGGCACCACAGTAGATCCACGTCGTTGCTCTATTGCAACACATGGTGCCCCTTGCTGAGCCTAGGCATAAGCGCACCAGTATCGTCGGCATAGGATGAGCACAATTTTGACAGGAAACGGAAATCATCACACACAAGCCCAGCTTCTGAAGAGAATGCCTAGAGGGCAAAGCGACGTGAGGATGCGTCAGAGACCACGCTGGTGATGCACTTGATACTTTACCGTGAAGTATCACTGTGTGAGCAAGCAAAGCCACCGAATAATTCTTTCAATATCCTAGTCTTGAAAATTCTTCGTCAGGTGCGTCAAGGATTGAATATCAGTTTGACCACTCATGCGTTTGTTAGGCACGTAATCCCGATTCTCAAGACGAGCTTGAAGTGGGTATATGTGGGCCACCTGCTGACCTTTTCCCTTGGCAACCGGGTTGTCTCCAAACGCATTAGGGGAATGCTAGACTTTGCACAGCTTGTGGCTGCGCCAGGGATGACGTTGATGCGTCGGATTGAGCTTCCAGAAGGTGGCTGGGCCGCTGGAAACTCAGTGTTATATAATAATACATTCGATAAATCTTCCAAAAATTGTACTCACTCCAGCTGTTCCGTGGTTTTCAACAGGATAGAATCCCGCAAAACAGCGGTATTCACTAGATCCTCACGACAGCGAACATGTAACCCGCCACCGTTCCACTCATCACATATGCACTCCGTAGGAGGCCCTTCACCCCTTTCTGGTGCTGCCACTGCTTCTGTCCCTTTTACTGTAGAGAATGAAAATGCCGTTGGAGGGCCGGCGATCTGCATCCTATACAGGCTTCCCTGCAGGTACATATCAAGTGCGTCATCAGGATGGCCCATCTGTGCTCGCCACTGTAATTCACGGCATGCCCTGGAACAGGCCATCATAAACTCATCCAGTGCAAAAGCCCGGTATCATGATATCTCACACATTTCTGAACTCCACTCCATTCATTGGAGAAGTCACTGCGGCAGAGCTTCGCTAGCACCCAATGGTCAGCGGCGCGAAATGAAAGATTAAGATTGCATCTCTTTGCCGCAAATTCATACCTTATATCCACTTGCCGAGTAAGACTAGCAATTTATGCTCATTAGTGCGAATTTGGCAAAACACAGTTTGGTCGTCTTGCGGCTTTTCTCAGTGTCTGGCATCCTCAATTCCTTCACTTTTTTCATACTTTTGCAGTCTTGCATTAGTTGAGCTTGTTCATTGACAAATTCAGAGGCGCCTCCCGATGGGAAAACCCGAACTGCTAGGCTCTGCATGTCCCGACTGCTGTCTGTTTCCGTCTCGCCTCCCTCTTTTAGTGGAGCTGGCATTCACTTTCCCAACAACCATAGGCTCAACATCTGGATAGTTTGTAAATGCCCCCGTATCTCTGCAACCACCATATATGGGTGGCCGGCAAAAGGAGCAGGCATTATTTATGACTTGCTTTTACTGTAAGAACATACACCATCGGACGGCATGCAGAATGTGGGCTTGATTCGGCTTGAAGACGCTCCCAGCGATTGCCCAGCACAGGGCCTGCTGAATAGTCATTGTGCAAGGGAAGTAAACTTGGGATATTTGTCAATGACTCGTCGCGAGTTCAAAGATAAATGTTTTTGTAGGTTTGTTTATTCTTAGCCTCGGTGGAACTAGTGACGGATAGACAACTGGCCGCGCTGGTGAGCAGGTGAGCTTTGTTGTTCAAACCTGCACCCCGTAGACGATGTAAATCTACACAACGTGGATCCTGTAATCTATCTGTGGAGTCCTGAGACCTACGCTGGTCCAAATACTTAATATGAAAGTTCCGCAAATGCCATTGATCTCCTCTCCGACTCTCCAGGCGTTCCTGGCATCTGTGTATCAAGCGCCTGGAGGTGCTGTAGACGAGTTGGCTCCATGGGTTTCAGCGCGTCCTGCTGCATCACAGTTGCAAGACAGCAGACAGCCCCACAAAAGAATACAAGCAACCCTCCTCCGGTGTACGTGTGCATACTGCAGATAGTTGTTGAAAGCTTCTGCTTGTGTACCAGTTTACGGCTAACGCCACGTGAGGGCTTCTGCTCAAATTTCAGGCAGGCTTTCAAGCATCACAATTTGGTCAAGGGTACGATTAACCCCTTTTGTCTGTCCATCAGTCTGCGGGGGGTACGGCGAAGACATTGCCCTTGTGATATTAAATTGGGGGCACAGCTGCGCCCACACTTCTGAGAGGAAAGGAGGGTCCCGATCAGAGATAAGTACTTCAGGAAATCCCTGGTAACGAATTAGCCGGTCGGCGAGTAATTGCAGAGTGCCAGCTGCTGAGCGCGACATTTTTGCGAGGATAAAGCGGGCCATCTTGCTGATATAACCTACTAGTACGACAATGGTGTCGTGCCCTGAGGTCGTAAGAAATAAATAGGCAATAAAATCCAAATTAATGTGGCTCCTTAGGCGTGATGGAATGAGAAACTGCTGTACCAGACCAGCAGGCTTTTGCTTCAGAGACGTGGGTGCGCGGCACTTCGTGCAAGACTCCACGTAGGCGTTCGTATAGGCCCGTATTCGGGGCCAATAATAATGCTTGCTTAGAGCAAGATATGTCTTCTTTTGTATCCGATGTCCTGCTGTCACGTGATCCTGGTGGATGTACAGGGCATGGCTAAGAAATTCGGGAAACTTGGGAACGCATATTAACCAGATGCCATTGAAACAAAGTGCGCAAGTAGGGCGCTACATAGAGGAAACCGTGAGGGCGGTGCAGGAACTCCAATTTCACTATTTCGCCTGGCCTGACTATTGGCGTCTAATAGGGGTCGAGGAATACAGGACACTTGGAAAATGCTGCAGGCCAGTAGACGCAAGGTGTAGGAAAAGTGGATGTCTGCTGGGGGGTCCTCGAGGGGGGAACCCTCAGGAACGGGGCTGGTCTCAGCGGGCGGAAAAGCAGCAGCAAGTTTGAAGGCGGTGCAGCCGGTCTTTCCTGGGGGTGACCGAGAACGGATGCCAGCGAGGTTTCGGCAATCTCTGTCTTCCCCTGGTACTGAATGAAGGAACTGACGGGTCGACGGCCGGCGTTAGGGACGCTAATAACCCAAGTGAGGACGTGGTGAGTTCGGTGGGCTTGGTGATCGCGCTGAGCGCTGGGTGACGAGGGAGACAAGACAAAGCGTCGGCCACTTGGCTTCGCTCTCCTGGTAAATAGATATTGGTAAATTACAGGAATTGCGCCAGGAAATCTAACCATCGAGCAGTACGGCCGCGCAGATGCTTCGACGCCTTGAGCTGTTGTGAGTAAGGGCGTGGTGGTCAGTGTAGGCCGTAATCACAGAAACTCGCAACAAGTGAGCCCACTCGTCGAGAGCGGTAACTAAAGCTAGGCGTTCCTGATCGTAGATCGAATATTTCAGCTGAGCGGGGTTCAAGACCTGGCTGAGGAACCCTATTGGCTGACCGCCTTGTTCAAGGGCCGCACATCCTGGTGCATCAGTGTACAGATCAAAGGGTTTTGCCGTGTCATGTGTAAAGTGGTATAATCAATGAGTCGTCTCTTGAGTTGCCTCACAGCCTGAGTATGAATCTCTCTCCATTGGAAGGGAATCCCCCTTTACGTGTGATATCAACAAGCGGCCGGGCGACTGTTGCAAAATCCGGCCCCATAAACATTCGGCAGTATTGAACGGTGCCCAGAAATTGACGAACTCGAGTCGCATTATCTAGCACCTCGGGCCACACCCGTATGGATGTAATCTTGTCTGCAGCTGGTTTAATTCCCTTAGCACTGATCGTGTAGTCCAAGTATGTAAGCTCCTGCTTAGCAAACTCGCACTTCCGAAGCTTCGGACCGCTCTACTCTTCTCCGACAAGTGCTGGTTATACTTCTCCAACACCATTTCTATCCGAAGCTTCGGAAGTGCGAGTTTGCTAAGCAGGAGCTTAGAGCGGCTGGAGAAATTTGCGCTGTAAATAAGGATGCCACTGAGGTACGCGATGACACCTTGGCCCAATAACGGTTGTAGAGAAACATTAGTATTTGCTTGAAAAGTAGCTGGCTCACCCTTGAGACCGAAGGGCATCACCTTGTACTCGAATAACCCGCATATCGAGCGGAAGGCTGTTTTGCACCTCTCTTCCTTGAACATACGGATTTTGTGGAAACCAGATACCAGTACCTCATATTCTTTCCATCCTCAGGAAGAATAGTAAAATCAGATCTCCGGAGGAAGCCCTCCCTAGGTGTTCTCGGATCCTGGTAGTCATTTATTACAGTGTGAAGGGGAATATCGGTGTCGGAGATCTACCCCATTGTCCTCACAAGGTTTGCTCCCCGTACCTCAGTGTAATCACAAGCTGGCTAATCACGCTATCGCCCCTAGCACTTCAGTCGTATTACGGCTGGTGCCCGTTAACCGTTCCGCTAAAGAATAGTTGTGGGAGTGGGACCTACAGTAAAAGCAAGGTCACTAGCTAAAACAGATATGATTTCCCGGAACAGCCCCCAAATGTAGTGCGCAGCAGTCTTAAGCTGTGCCTACTTATGTCATCTCATAGTATCGGGCCTCCAATCTACATTCTCTAGCTACCCACGTTCCCTGATGTCAATAATTAAATTGTCAAAACATTCGAGTCCCCATCATAAACATGGGAAGTTCCCAGAATAATAGAACTGACTGACTAGAATAATCAGAACTGACGCCCGGTCTTTTTGGGGATCAGTGCCTGACCTACAAAATAGCGGGGAAGGCAGTAAGACAGCGCCGTAAGGTGCCTGAAATATAGAGCTGCTATCCACTTAAAAATGCCATATTCAAAGAAATAATAGATTGTATTTATCTTCTCCCCATTTATTAGATCTCTACAAGTTACATGGGGCCCAAAGTAGTGTCCAGGGACTGCATTACACGGCAGGCGAGGGCAGCTAGCATACTGACACAACCAGGCTACGACTCCACCTAACGGTACCCCAACCCCTGGAACAACTAGTAGAATTCCTTTTCCTAACTAATAATGCCCTAGTCCCAAGAATATTTAATATTTATTCCCTTTACCGATGTAAAACCTCTAGAGGTCACACCAGAGACCCATTGTCGTGCCTGTGCTCTACACTAATCTCTGGAATATTTAGTAATGTTAGCTCCTTTTTCTAACTACTATTGTCCTAGTCCCTAATTATTTAATAGTATCTATTCCCTATCCTAATCTTAAGCCTCTAGAGGACACACCTGAGACACATTGTAATGCCTCTGCACTACACCTCCGCTGCACTACCTACAGTTTCTAGTGCACATGTGTTCAGGATTCCTGGATTCTCAACCATAGACTAACTACCTTTTTGCAATTCCCATGAAAAGCTTTTAGGCTTATGTGCGGTTCAAGGAGGTCGACGCCAAAGGATGGAGGCCGCCTTAACATGCGACGGGAGGACCCAAGAAAATCGCTCACAATTGCGGGAGATATTGCATTCCAGCTTGCCACAGTACGAGTGTAACGGATAGCGGAACGTCATAAGTACGTAACCATAATGCAGGTTTATTTTCCGTATTGTACAGGAGGTAACCTGTGCAGTACTAGAATGCAACATGTTGCAATGTTTGGGGCTGATTGTTGACGTGGGCACAAACGCCGTAGGGCTTCGAGAGGTATCTCCTCTAGACCATAGATCTTAAGAACTCATCAATTTTTAAAAATGAATCTTGGGATTCTTAGAATATTTTGCAAGATTAGGTGGGGGTTTCTTTAGAACTTCTAGCTGTGTAATGTTAATAGTGAAGTAATGCAGCTCCTGCTAGGGCACCAACCTTACTACAGTCGCGGGCCTCTGAATGAACTGAAGGTTGCCAATACTGTTGGCTACCCTGCATACCTATACAGGGTTCTTTGCACTGTAAACGCTTAGGACCACCTCCCACGACTCAGCACGCGGCACCATGGGTCATCGTCACCGTGCAATTTTGAAGCAGCAGAACAAGGCGTTCAAGGGGTCATCTTCTAAGCCTAAGAGCCTCAAAGAAAAGCGAAAGGCTGCAGCAGCAAATGCTTCTGCACTTTCAATTAATAGACCTACTACGAAACTTGACCGTGTGCAGCGGTCTAAGCAACGCCGCCTTCAGCTGCGCCGCGACCAACAACAGCAACAGTTGTCGAACCCCTGTGGCCCACCGCCGAAGGTAGTTCTCCTTCTCCCATTTTCCGATTCTGTATGCGTTGAGAGCGTCTTTAATGAGTTAAGACGGGAACTCATAGGTGATGATGGAGCAGTGGTTGATGGTGGGGTGTTATGTGGAGACATGGACGAAGACGGGACCGCCATGAGAACAGACGATGTGAAGACTTGCTCCTCTCAGAGCCGTCCGCACCACAGCCGCTACTTATTCACCCTGCCTGCATATGCACGAAACCCAGCAATACCGAAGAGGCACCACCAGAAGGTCTTGCTAGTTCCTGCACCTCGCATATCCGAAGAGGAAACAGGGGACCAAATGCAACAGGAAGGGGTACAAATCCAACGGCGCAGTGAACTTCTGCGGTATATGGATCTGTGTAGCTGCTGTGACGTATTAGTATGTCTCTTTGGCGGCAACTGCACTTACGAAAAAAGTGCCTTCAGTAGCCGCGGGTACAAAGTATTGCAGGCCCTCAAGCTGCAGGGCCTTCCGCCGTCGGTGATTGGTATTGGCTGCATAGATCCTTCTTTGCTAGATCCGGCAGGACTGCCTCAAGAAAAATATTCCGCAAGTGAAAGCCTGAAGTTCATGCGTCGCTTCTTTGAATCTGAGCTAGGGGCCGAAAGGTAAACTCCTAATAAATATTTTGCCACTGGCGATCCTTCTCTAAAACACGATACTCGTTGGGCCGCCGCTAAGTATTTCAAAACCAATTTGGAAAGAACAGAAACAATAGCATCATCATAGTAGGGTCGTCCCGTGCACAAATTTTCCAATTGCTCACTGTCTCATCCGCTGAACAAAATGTAGACAGGTTATCGGCACGTCCAGGCTGGGCTTGCTGTGGTCTTTTCTGTAGAAAATTTTTTGGCATCGCGAACTCCGCAGACTGGCGCAACGCGTTACGGGCACTGGGGGCGGCAGCTCCATTGATTCAAGCCGATCCAAATGCGAAGGTTTTAGCAAAAGGAGCAGAAGCGGCTGCTTGTAGACGTCGGGGTCATCTACTCGCTCTCAGCTGGCGTATAGCGTGGCACTCCCTCTCGGAAGACCCTGCGGCGCAGCTTGAGCCCTGCCTCGAAGCTTGGGGACTGATCCGGGGAGCCGGCCTAACATGCAGGTGAGCAACAACAGGCTGTCGTTGTGCATGCCCAGTTATCCTTTGCGTTTCAGCTATCGCCTTTTGTCACTGTCCTTTGCCATAGTGAGTTCATGCAGTAATGTTTGACCCCCTCTTCGATCGCGCGCTAAGGCTCTTATCTTCAGTTATGGCGTTTGGCGCTGCAGGCTACCTGTGCACATTACAGGAGTGGGTGACTTCGTGCTAGCTAGGATTGAGCCATTGGGGCCAACGGAAAAGAGGCGGGAATTTGCTGCATCAAGCGCCCATGCAACAACTGAAGTGGAAGCCCTTGGGGCAGAAATGCAAGGTTAGTAGCGGTTGTTCAACGTGCCCTGCGCAGGTACCGCCTGAAGGTTTCGTTTAGCTGCTTTCTACAGTGATTATTTTATTTCATTACCCCAGTTCTGAAGTCCGCGTGCCTGTCTCACCGCTCCACAGAAGTAATCCAAGCATCCCAACCATTACAGCCTCTAGACGCTGCTGCCTTGGAGCAAACATGGCCAACAGAAGATGAGATTCCCGGCAATGGTAATACGGCACCAGCCGTTCACAGGAGATGTGTCCGCGTCCCCAAGGATGTAGGGGAGTACGAGCGAGCGTGGCTCGAATCAGATACAGATGGTGCAGATGACGACGGCGAGGAGGAGGTGAATATGGACAGCGATGCGGACATGCAACCTGGGGAGGTTGTTTCTGGTAAGCTTGCAAGTTCGTGTAGGCATGCTCTTTCCGTCTGGTACATTGCATTCTAGCAGCTGATAGAACCTGGCGAGGATGTAAGGGCCGTCGCAGCTCATGCGGCGTTGTTTCATGCAGCGGATAATGAGCAAGCATCGAGCGCAAATGATGAAGCTGATGAAGATTGGAAGCCCTTGATTAGTTCAGAACAGCATGATATGAAAACAGACAAGTATGTGTAGGCTCTTTTTGGCAGTTCAGTTTTGGAAGTCATTATGGAGGGAGTGGCCCCTTCGTCGAAAGTTGTAGCATCTGGCGGCGTCCAGTGCTTGCTGTGCTGTGTTGCTTGGTACTCAGTGAGGCATATGCCGCCCGTCGTCGGGAAGCGGCAGAGATGGAGAAGGAATTCCCGGATCAAGTAAGTCCTACGTATTTCTTGTTGCCATTACGTGTCTTCCAAAGACCGGGGTGCAAAGCCGTTGGCGCTGCAGTAGTTGCCTGAGGTGTGTCGCACTCAGGTCGACACTCCATTGGATATTCCGGCGAAGGAGCGCTTCCAGAAGTACCGCGGCCTCAAGAGCTTTCGGTCGTCTCCTTGGGCCCAGAATGAAGACCTTCCACTTGGTTACGGTCGCATCATCGATGTGTCGAGCATGAAGGTACATGATTCAGCGCACTGACGTGCCTTTTGCCCTATTATGGGATTCGCGGATACAGGTTCCCTGACAGCACACGTGTGGGGTTTCCGTTGGCGGATTCTTCCCCATATGGCTTCCCATGATTTGTGTGTTTCTCAGGGTCTGGCGGCATTTGCGCATCGTGCGCATGCAGAAATGTGTCAATCCACGGGAGGATTCTCAGGAAGGTTCTGTCGCCTGTTGCTGCCCTTGCGCCATTCATACATGTTACAGAAGGTGGTGCAGAAGCACCCCTCTCTGAGTGGCAAGGAATTTGGTGAAGCTTTGGTTGAGGCGATGGCTCAACGGGTGGCCAGTCGGTTTGCGGTTCAAGCTCAGAGTCCTGCACCTGCTCCTACAGCAAGTGCAGATGACGATTTGATGGTTCCAGATTTCCTTGTAGTGTCTCAACTGCTGCAGCACGAGACCCAGGTGGCGGTGGTCCACTCCCAAGTAACGTTTTGTGATGATGCGCCCGTGAAGGGCAAGGATCCATTGTTGATGTCATGCGGATTCCGAAGGTAGATTTCCCTGCATTCGCACCTGTATGATTTACCATACAGTCCTTTCCCATATTGCTTAACAGTAACTTTCCCTTGCCTTTTTGTTTTCGGGCTTTCGGAATTTTTGATGCAGATTCCCGGCTTCTCCAATTTATTCGGAAGAACCGAGGCAGGGCATGCATAGCACGTCGAAGTGGAAACTTAAGCGCTGGGCAGAACCGGGCACAACTCTCACCGCAACCGTGTACTCACCTCTTGTACTTCCCCCGTCACCCTGCATTTTGCTGCGATATGACCAATCAGGTAATGCCTCAGATGGAGGGCAGCTTTATGTTGATGCGACGAGGGAATGCATGCCGCTGGCGTTTCCACCAGAGTAGACGTTATCATCGGTCTGTTGTGTGTTTTGACCTGAGCAGCATATGATAACCTGCGCATTACAGCGTGGGGTTCCGTTCTTCCAGTAAATAGGGCGAGTAGCCGTTTAATTATTAAACGTGTACTCCTCAGCGGCCATCCGTTCAAGGTTCACAGGCGCAAGGCAGTTGTGCGGTTCATGTTTTTCAATCCCGACGATGTGCGGTGAGTGATGTGCCTGCAAGGCTTAAATGTCTGGCCACGTTTTCGTGCAACTATCGGAGTTGCCTGTTTGGGATCCCCAAGGCAACAGTTTCTCCCCGCAACACTATTCTGGCCTCTGCTGTCGTTTATCCCCCACCTCTCTCTGGAAGTGAATGGTGCATTAGGAGGTGCCAGCTTGTCTCGATTGCTCTCCCGCCGTGGTTTGCCTGCAGTTGGTTTGCTCCAGTTGAGCTGCACACAAAGAGGGGGCTCCGAGGAAACATTGTTGAGCCTTTGGGTACTCATGGATACATGAAATGCAAATTCAGCGACTACCTCAAGCAGAATGACGAGGTAAGCCTTTCTCTTTTTGTCAATGCAAGAACATCCAAAAATGAATTCCGTACAGAAAATCACATATACACTGATTACACGAATTTGTAGATTGTTCTGCTCTGTTGACAGTGTTCGCACTGCATGGATTCAAATGCTAATGGCGTGCGCATTAAAAATTTTCTAGCATCCGTAGCGTTTGTTGAAAGGTGTTTGAATCGTTAGTTTTATCTCGCTCAGTAATGAAATGGGTTTGGTGGCTTGTAGTTTGGTCTACGCGGGCAGGTCCACTGATTTACGCTGCTGTTTACAGGTTCTTTTGCCCCTCTACCGCCGAGTATTTCCAAAATGGTATCCACAGTCCTGGGGTGGGCTACCAGACCAGCAACCGATAGACTAAAACTTTTACTAGCCTTAGCACCACTGATTCCTTTGTGTGCGATTTTGTCCCGACGGTCTACCATCACCCGATGTATACGCCGGACAGCAACTAGAAGGCCCGCTAGTGAGACGCTCCACGAAGACCTATCTTAGATGGAGTGAATGCAATTGATAACTATCAATATTTGCCTATAAATAATAGCAGATGGCCACTGGTTCTTGACTTCGCTTAACTGCAGTCATTGCTGGTGAATTTGCAAACGCATGTTCCACAGGCGTAGCCTGCAGGGCTTCCCTCTTCTGTTTCCTGCCACCTTTCAGAGCATGCATCGGCGGTAATACGCTGAAACGCACTTTGCTGAATGTCCCGTTTTAAAGATAATCATCAGCAGAGATGGACGAGTGTGCTGAAGTTTATTCATTATCTGGCGTAGGAAATGATGCTGATCAGTCAAGTATAGCAGGCCTTGGTACCCACTTAGTTAACGAGCTTGAATGGAGAATGCACTATAGGATTCTTTGGGCTAATACAGAACCACGAGCGAAAACGAGATTGCATTTTAGTACACAAAGGGGAGCAAATTACTGACGGGTTCTTGAATTGCTCCGCGGGAGCATCGCCTCTAAGAATGCTCTGGTAAATCGTGATTTTTTACTGACTGCGTTTGCTGATGAGGAACGGGCAGGCTGGTGTAGAGGCAACCCGTGTTTACTGGGCGGTTTTGCGGGCGTAGGGTTGGAGGTCTCCACTTTCGCCTGCGCACTAGGGCTGCATGCTTCAGGGCTTGTTGGTGACAGTGGCACCTGGAACTGTGGCCCGAATGGAGGATGCGTAAATGCCTTCACTTCTCTCCTGACGTGTGATTTGGCTGGGAATCCTTCATCCATAGGGAGTGCCGTGTCAGCTTCCCATGATAGTCTCGATTTGAATCTCTCCTGGGCGCGTGGCAAGGAAATGCTCTGCATTGGGTTTCCTTGAGTCTCTGTCTGGTCTGCGACGGCTTGGAGATGGTGGACACAGCGTTCCCTAACAGACATACGAGCGGTGTACCTGTGACGAATCTGGGAATCCCACTGCCGAAGCTGCTGTAGTTTTAAGGGGGCAGCATCGACGCTTAATGCCCTGTATATTTGCTGGTCGCTAGTCGAACACAGTTGGTCTTCCCGAATTATGCCAGTGCTTCCACTAATATCCACTGCAGCCGAGGATTCCAGTGGCTGCCTTTCCTGGGGACCATTGGACTTTTCGAATAAACTGACTTCTGTTTTTCTGCTCGATGTTAGTCTAGCTGTTTCACTTGCCACACTAATTGCCTCATTTGCCATCCCGCCGCCTACCACTGAAACAAATCCGTCATACAGCGCTTGTGCTGGCCTGCTGACATGGCCTTGCTCCTCAGGCATATATGTCTGCGCAGTTGACTCTTCTAGCGTCTCCATTTGGCTGCTTGGGAGCCATCCATCCTTTGAGAACGTTTCCAACTGCCTTGCCATGCATTGTTGTAGTCGTTTTCCGACGGGTGGAGTCGTGCAGTCTGGTGTTTGCTGGAGAAGAATAGTCTGGCAAGGAAGTTCGGATTCGCATTCGCTGGTGCACCAGCTGTTACTTTCTGATAGTGCATCTTCACCATCCTTATCAGATACACGAATAAAGTGGCCAAGGGCAGGGGGCGGGGGGAAGCCGTGAGACAAGCATGCCCACAATTCGTTAAAGCGCCATCTCCGATCAACCGGCATATCAGCAGAGGTATTCAGTTTTGTTCTCGCTGCCTCTCTGCACGATCGCTCGCCTGCAGGTTCCCGTTTGGCTTGAGCATCGACGTCTGCATCCGTATCTGTTTCCTTCTCCGCTAGGGCGTCTGGGCGCTTCACATTGTTTGTGGGCTGTGGATGGAGTTGCTCTCGCTGCTGGTGGACCACGCCAGCACCAAGGTGCGAAACGGGTTGCTGTTGCGTCTGAACTGGCTGTTGTAGACGCTTCACTAGAGTCGGTAGCGGGCGGTCTTCCGGATCTTCAGTTTGAGTGCCTTCTCTTTTGATGTTTGGGTATTCATCCTTCGCTCGTGGCAGAGCATCATGTGTACCTGTGTGGATTGAACAGCAGCTAGTGTTGCTCAAGCCACGTGAGAGCGACATACTAACAGAACTGCAGTGTGGAACCCCACACAGTTGCCCGTCCCGCGTAGAATGCCCTTCTTCTAGCTGATCCGGCCTTCCTGGTGCTGCAGTGTTATACTGGCACGAGGGGCGGTTAACGGGCACCACTCCAGGGCATTCAGGGCCGCAGCTTATTGGTATAGCTCCACTTTCAGCAAGTCGTCGCATCACGCCTTCCGGGTCAGGAATTCCCGCGTTTTTAAGGACCGTAGTGGCGAAAGCGTATTGATCTCGAAGTGCGTTCTGCTCAGTTGTTATCTTAGTATTCACAGCCGTACTGCGGGGGTGTGCTGCGGGGTACCAAACACAAGAATCCCCTGCATCTGCGGGGCAGCAACGGCGCTCGCAGCACGTGCTGCGAAATGCGGTGCCTTGATGGATGTGCTGAAGCACACGCCGCTGCTGATTCTTTAGATAGCGCATTTCCTCCGTTTGCATCCTCACCTCAGCTTGAAGGGCCTCAAGACCCAGTAACAGGCAGCGTTCAGCTTCAGCCCCACCAACAGGCATTTGCTGAACAAATCTGTCACAGGGAATATCATGCCCTCTTCGTTCATTTTCTGGGTCTTTTTGTAATATTGTTTCGGAAGGAGCACTAATGGTGTTTTCCCGAGGTCTCTGGTCAATACCTTCTCGACTGCGCATAATCCGGTTGCTTCCTGTTGGCGCCTGCCTGCTAAAGGCATCAGCATCAAAAGGTGTACTTGGGGTCTGGTGTGGTTGCTGCTGTTTCGGCAGTCGAGCTGCGGCGACGTTCGCCTCAGCTAGGTGCTTCGATCTGATCAATTGACATGCGTCTTCTTCTTCCTTTGCAAGCTGCAACACAGCAAGTTCCACAGCAATCAGCCCACTAATAGTCCATCACAAGTGCTTGAGCCAAGTACACCTTAGCCGATCGCGGCATTTGCCTTCATGAAGGCTTCACGCAACGTACCCTCTCTTGTTCTATTTCCCTGCTTAGACGAATTCTCTCCTGCTCATCTTCTTGCTTTCTCCTAGACTTCTCCAACTCGCGCTCTGCTGCCCGTTCTTGCATCTGTTTCAGCAGTTCTGCTTGGTATTTCTTTTTAGCGTCCTTCAAGCGCTGCTGACCAGTCTGTGCGTCACTAAAGCTAAGTAAAACACCACCTGACGGCGGAGTTGCCTGTTTAAAGGGTTCCTTGGTTTCCTTATACTCCTGCAGATATTATTAAGGGAATCAAATATATCACCAAGCGTGGACGGTTTACTTACTAACAAGCGCGAAAGTTATGTGCTGTATGTGGCTGTAGAGTTTGCAACGAGGTGAGCTTGGTGCTGATAAACCATCAGTTTATCGAGGACTAAAACCTTGTCAGGGTGCAGATGATAGCCGTTCAGGCGAACTAGAGCACAGGATTTAAGCAAGCTGGTACCCGAATGATGTTCGTGGAGTTGCAGATAACATCTGGATTTTTACGCCTTTAGGGCCTCTAACCTTGAGTGCCGCACGGTTGAAGGGCTCAGGTTCTCGTGCCATTGATTCGTCTGGCCAATACCATGCACCCAATAACAGGTCATCCGATATCATTTGCTGGCAGCTACAAATTGTCCTAACATGCTTCATGTGGGAGGAGTGCTAGTGAGGGTCGTTAGCTTTGTGCCAACTGGTTGATAAACCTGATAACAAAGGTACGTTATAAGTCATTTTGCGTTTCGACAGGATGCCTGCGCTGCATATAGTGACAGGCGTACTCCCAGACGAACCAGAGTTTTGTATTGGCAAGGTGAAGTTCCTGTCCGTAGATTGCTGGTGGTAGAGATAGGGCAATTGCTGCTGGCCAAGCTGGTAGAGGGACGGGTGCAACAAGGCGGTCGGTTGGAGTAGAAGAGGCTGCTGGTGAATTAGGGGGGCAGGAACAACGGAGGGAATACTGGTCGTCGATATCCCATCAGAATGCGGAACAACGTAAGCTGATTGACGAGCAATTAACGGCGCTAATGCAGCAAGGGACTGCAATGCTCTTGCCACGTCAGCGCCTTCTTGTGTTACGTTTCTCTGCACCCTATTGTTCATGCCCTCTTTAGAGGAGTCAGCGCAGTTTCCTTCCTGTGGTTTTACCTGAGCAGTTGAATTGTATGGCGTGCACTGTGGTTGAGTATGCTGCACTCTCGTGCTGAACGACGAGAAGTGTGACACTGACGGTACTGCAAAGTCTGAGCCTAATTAGGGAACTTTCATCAGTGGTTGACTGGATAATACTGGAGCTTTGTGTCCTCTTTAGTAATGCTGTAAAGCGCAGCTGCTGGTGGAACTTACTTCGGCATCCCGTGGTACCTCGTCACCAATTCCACCAGGTATGCTTGCTTCTGCTACCCAGCCGGGTGAGCATGTAGGGGTGGCATCCGGTAAATGACGTTGGTGCACATCAGGGGGGAAGGGTAGCCCGCGTTCTTCGGCTCGCTGCTGCAATCGTTGCCGCCTTTGCTGCTCCATCTGTTGCAGCAAGATCTTGCCATATTCGGTTGTCATTGTGCCTCGGGTTACAGTGGTACAGTATAGTGCCGTGGATACTTCGGTAAGCCTAAGGAGATCCTGCATGCTCCAGTATTACGGAGGAATGCAGCACATCACAACTACTGGAAGGACATTTTGTAATTGATCAGGGCACTCATACATACTAGTAATGTCTCGGCACGCTGTGCAAGCCAGCTAGACAATCGTGCCCCCAACTCGCCGATGTTTTACTTACCGTATACACCTAAGGTAAAAATGCTTGGGCTAAAGCTGTTCTATTTGCAATTCCTCAGAGAGCTCCTGGTGTCTATTGTACGCTGTTTGACCCTGGCTATAGAGGGCGACGTCGCGCTATGCCGAGGCTTGGATGCCATGCAGACGTAGAATTAACATAAGTATTCAAGGATTCAGTGGTAAAGTAAGAGCGGTATTCGAGGATATATAATGTTTTGCGGGATCGTTGACCCATTGCTGGGCAGCCTGGCGCAGTCAGGACGCTGCCCATTTGGTGGCCATTATGCCAACAGGTTTCTGTTTCCCTACGTGCCTAGACCCTGACCAAAACACAATTTATATTACTGTAGAAGTTTCGGATCCACTTTAAGGTGTGTGTCTCCTATGACGGACCACCGCTAAAGAATAATCCCTGTTCAGATGTGGGGCCGCAGTTGAGTCACGATGCACACACCACACCGAGCGGACAACTATAGCTAAGATGTAATAAAGTTTGTGCATATCTTTTCAGTTAAAATTGAATTGAAAGATCCATTGGCTTTGTGAAATCCAGAAGTGCCACAATTTTATACGTTTGCTCCCAAGGTGACCCAAACACCGTCAAGACACTCGGTCGCTCAGCTCCAAGGTCAGCTGGCAGGCACGTGCCTCTTGGGCATCATATTTACCGAATTTTAAAAGCTTGCTATGTGTGCTTCTGTTAAATATTAAGGAAAAAGTAGGTGAAAAGTTATTTGCGTGGAAGCCTTGGCCGGCTGGTGCGTTTGCGCTCCGTGCGCCAAGTGCAAGCTGACGAAGGCCCGGCAAACGGGCATATGGCTCGACAGCAAATAATGCGTCCAGGTATTAAATTTCATGCGCTTGGAACAAAATTGCTCCGCAGGGCCTTGCCTGCAGTGTTTCGATAAGGACGCTGTGCCTTGGATATCCGCGACGTGCCAGCCCGTTGACTCGCTTGGGGCTCTGGTGGCCCAGGTAACGAGTCTAGCTCTCTCCTTAGCAAATGGGTTACTGCCAGACGTATAATAAATCCGTGGTAACTGGCCATGGAACCCTGATAGGAAACTGGATGGAAGAGGAGGTCCTCCGGGACGCTTCCGGGCACACTCATCTGGATAGGTACCCAAACAACTGAAATAAAAGGACTCCAGTCCAGACGTGTGATCCCCGAGTCAACTTGCTTGTGCTGAAACTAACAGGGGGGACAATACTAGACGGAATTACAATGCTTTGAGGGGCTCACGCGTTCGGCGGTTAAGACTGTCGAACTTCCCTGGCCATTGCCAATTCGTGTTGCGACACTGCCATTCTGTATGCGCAATGAAACCACTGTGATGTGCAGCTCCCCTCATTTGGACACATTCATGCGCGTTATGGGAGATCGGCCATATCCAGTGTCTGAGACCTTCGTCACCAGTGCTGGTCGCCGCACTCACCCGCCTTCACGCAAGGAAAATGAAGTGCAGCTCCCCACGAAGCGTGAGCTTGCCTCACGCAGAATGAAAGAGTTAAGCGCGTACATGAGCGAAACGTGTATGTTTCGTTCAACAGCAATTGACGCAGCGGCACTAGAAGCAGCGCTCAACGAACGCAGAGAAGACAAGGTGGGTAGCACAGCGGAGCTACCTAAAGTTCCATCCAAATCCGCTGCATACATAGTAACTCGGACACCCAAGAAGAGAGAATTCATGTTCCGTGAATACAGCAGTTTTGGTGTGAGCGCACGTTTGCACATTGAATACGACAAGTATCAGGGGCTCTCGACGAAGTGTGTATATTATCAAATGGATAGTGTCGGTAGCCCAGAGGCGTAGCGTACTGCATTTCTAGGCGAATAAATGTGTGGTATTTATTACGGTGCCGCAGAACGTTTCTGCTAATGCCGAACAAGAGAAATGCACTAATGAAACGGAGTCCGCTGCAAAGTACAAATTCCACGTGAGCAGTTGCATGGTAAAGAACCCAGACACTGTTTGGAGGGCGATCAAGTTGTTATTACGTGTCAAAGAAAACCCTGCTAAACCATTCCTATCAATACATTCGAGGAAGATCCTTGTTTCTGCAGGTACCTCAGGTTCAAGAAGCGAAGCTTCTAAGCCCTGAAGAAACTGCCCAAAAGTACTTCCAGCAGGTAGAATGTTTAGATTCGCCTTTTTGTACTAGTTTGCTGATGCTTGCCTGCAAGTCCCTCACAATCATCACAGTCGTCGTATAACACATTGACAGGATATCCAAGCACAGCTTCGGGGTTCCATGCGTGTCGAAATCGGCATGCCCTCATGCGTCTCGCTTCTAAGCTAAAGCTGCATTCGTGGTTGTATGGCTCCGTATAATTCAACAGCAAGTCAGGTCTGGGACGCCAGAAGGTGCTGAACTTGTCAGTCGCTGGACTGAGCTAGCCAATATCCGGAGGTCAGAGGCAAAACCTCCTAGCATGACCGTCTTGAGTTTAAGCCCACCCCTGCACGCAGGTTAATACGCTCATGCACAAATCCTTGTCGTTGTGTACTTCCAAATACAACTGTGTACCAAAGGGTTTGCATGTTGTATGCAGTTCTAGCGTACAGCAGACTTCCTGCAAAGGCCAAATGATGTTTGCGAAGAATAATTCTTTCTCAATCCCAGTACAGAATTCGCTGCAAGTATGAATTCCACTAAATCTGAGGGGTTGACACGGCGTTGATCTTGCAGAGTGATTATGCAAGCTCCCTGGCATGTAAAATAAGGTTCATTTCCCGGGATTTTGATGATCGTCCGTTACGTTGCTGCAGGGTTTATGTAAGGACTCAGAAGCCCTAGGAATTCTCGAAAGGTCTCTGAGAAGCAAAAGCGAGACTCACCCAGCATCAACAGGGGTGAGCGGCACAGAGTACTGCTACCATTGTAGTGTTCCACGTACATCGTTCCTTCATTATTTTTAAGCAGCGTGCCCATCCACTTAGTACCAAGTGGCGCACAGTGGGCAACACATGCAACTAAGCGTGTAGCTGAGCCGGGGTTGAATAATATCACCGCTCCTGTTGTGTACGTTGACTACAGGGTCTGCAGCCAGCATTGCAGGCTTTCAAGCAACGGCTTCGAGAGGCGATTAAAGCGGCAAAAGGATGTTTGGGGTTTCTGATCCTTAAGGCTGTTCTCAAGTAAGCAAGGTGTCGAGAGCCTACAGAAAGAATGCGGCATTTCTAGGCCCAGAGGTAGCACGATGCCGATTACTCTTTGTTCGCTGTGGAGTGGCACTTAGGGAGCTAAGCGACGTTCGGGGTCTCGTTCCAGCAGAAGCTGTGGAGCAATTTCTCTGGCAGGAGTTTGGTGTCCAGACAGCACACATTGTGAGATGCTGGCGAGCTAGAGCGCTTATCGAACCTGCCCTGCTGAATCCAAGCAATGCTCTACTTCTGAATCCAGAGCTCCGTATTGATACTTTGGGTACCTGCAGCCTATGGAGCACTTGAGAAGCGCCTTAAAAATACTGACACTAGTGGACAAGACATCTATTCGGATATCTGACCTCGTGGAGTTTATATGGGTGATCGTCACACTGACCAAGTGGGGTGTGGGTAGCCCTGGACTTGCTGGTATACATAGTGTTGCACATGCGGGGGGTGGGCGTGTGTCACTAGCTTATCCTGAAAAGCCTTGTTATGTCCTATGACATCTGCTAGCCGTGCATTCACAGCCAGCGAAGCAAAAGCTTCTACTGGATCCATGTGAAGTCCGTGGAGACCTGCACATCATATTTAGTGGATTCACTTCAATTGATACACACAGTATTCCACTGTTTCAGCGGATATTGTAAAATATATCCTATATCTATGCAAAACGTATTTCGAATGGTGTCTGCTCTAATGTTTACATGCAAAAGGTGCCTATTGAGTCTTGCCGAAGAAACATCCTCGTAGCCTTCCATCGGGTCGCCACATCTTCGAAGGACATTGTTGCAGCGGGGTCCAGCGCTGCAACAGTCCGCATCACTCACCCTCGGCCGCTGATACAGCTCACAAGCATCCCGGAATTCCTGCATCCTTTCCTTAATGAAAAAGACTCTAGTGGCCAAGTGGCTCTCCCATTGATACTTGAGGCTCTCGTGGTAAGTGACAAAAAACAGTGAAGAACATAGCATTGAAGCAGAAACCTCCCAACCCCACCCTTCTACAATACACTACAGAAGCACTTCCGCGAATCAATGCTTCCCATGGGGCACACCGTTTTCCTCTTCAGGATTTGAGCCAAGGCATCGCTGACGACGCGAGCTTCTTAGCAACCGTCTGTGATATTGCCGAAAAGGAAGGGTTCCACCTGCAAGTTCACACTGTTGATTAGAGTCTGGGCGCAGTTGCTTGCGATTTGGAGGCATCACGAACGCTGGCAGAAGCACAAAATGTACATTTGGTCAGCAATATTCCACGGTGCTATTCCTAGTAGTTCGCATTTCAATCGATTGTGGTACTCCTACGTATCCGGACCCTTCTGTAGACCTGACAAAAACGTTTCCTCAAGTGAACCTCCGTTACCTGCATCCGAATAGAGCAGCTAGGACCCGTAGTGCATGGAATACTCAGAAGGCAGAGGGCAGAATATGTTGCGGAAACGCTTCGGCTGGAAAAATTTTGGCAAATTATTCTACGCTGGAGCAGAACGAAAAGAAGCTAGACAGTAGTAGTAGTAGTCATCCACTAAAGTCGTCCCGAAACCTTAGGGTCCATTTCCATTGAATGTACAAAGCAATCCTCAATCCTCCAGCTCAGACACGTCAACCAACTCAGGACGTGAGCGTCCTAAGAACTGATGTAAAACATACGTTACAGCGGTGTCATTTGACAATTGATGTAGATGAATAAACTCGCGTACAAAATTTGCCTTTATGTGCACTTTTCTCGCAAACAGCGACCATTATTTGCGCAACTTACGCGATGAAGACAGGTATCGCGTGATTTGCTATCATAGCGAAGCGTCACCATTGCTTCGGTGCGCGCTTGCACTTGAAGTTAACTTGTACATTTAAGGAAAACTGAGGCAATTAAGCTATTGCAACTGTATACAGTGCTTCAGCACTCTGTCAAGAAGCCAGAATATGCATGTTTTCCTTTGCACCTGCACGACTGCTTAGAAAAACTGTGGTGAGCACCAATACGAGTTAATAAGTAGAGACATATCAAAAATTGATGTGTCAAAGCATATTAATCTTATACATTTCGTAGCCCCTTCCAAAAACTTAAAAACGGTCCATATTGGATGACAGTGGCGACTGGAGTGTGAAAACACGCCAAAAGTGCAAACGCTCAATTAGTCGTAAGCTTCCATGTGCTTTACAGACATTGTACACAGCAGTGTCTGTAACACAGTGTACAGAGTAAACAGGTGAATAAAATAAATTTACTGCATACTTCACTTGAATGCGGGTTTTCCTCCGGAAGCTTTTAGAGGATTAGCCCGGCCTGTACGAGTGAGTCTATCAAGGAGTTGATCCGCAGCTTCTAGGGTTTCTGAGTTGCTCATTGTTGCTGTGCTTGAGCCAGCCTTCATTCCTGCAACTGCCCGCTGGAGCATAACACGCTTCACAGAGCTTCGCTTAATGAAGTACTCACGGATTCGTGAAAAGGATCTCTTTCCTCTACGCAGAAGTCTGGAGATGGCTGAACCCAAGCACATCTGAAGACGCATCAGTGTCTTTGACTGGTTGACGACGACGGCGATCGCGGAGTTAATCGTTAGGAAGAGGGAAAATCCTCCAGCCGTACCAGAAAACAGCCCAATAAGAAACACCTGTTCAATCGCTGTTGCCCACGCTGTACCGAGCGAAGCCCCTCCAGGAACAGGGCTGCAGGCCATTTCTCCAAAGACCGGATTCCACAGGCAGTCGAAAGGCGGAGGAGCTCCTGAGACAATTAGGTTTTGCAAAATGTCAACAAAACTCATGACCGCATATATGCCCATAAATGTAAGAACGAATGAAGAGACGATCGCAGCCACTGCGTGCTTTCTTCTAGTGGAAATCCAATCCACCACCATGTTACCCATAAAGGGGGCCTGCTGACGTAGATAAAGTCCCAGGTAGTGGTTCCCGAGAACTTGGTGGGCGCGAGACGAGAACAGCATATAGTAGGCAAACATAGACGCTTGGCCACTTTCCAGGCCCTTAAGCTCTTCCCTAACTTCCTTCGGAGTAGAATGATCAAAAAAGTTGAGAGCAGCGTCGCTCTTCAAGACCATGCGCCGTGAATTGACAAGAGCTGGGTCTGAAAGGTGCTCTAGTGCCCACGGTGTACCGAATGCCTTTTCGTACTTGCGAAATATATCGGGGCTCAACATAGAAGGCAGCATGGTACTAAGAGCCATTTGCCACAAACCTCTACAATGGTCAATGCACATAGACCTTTGAAACTCTGTGTCACGCAATCCTTCCGACAAAGTGCCGTAGGCCCGACGTACACCCAACATGCCCATATTTCTTTCTACAAGTGGAGGAACTCGTGAAATATCTGAACCTTCTACGCGAATTCGAGTCTCCATCTCGCGCAGAAGAGCTTCCTGCATGTTTATTTTGATGGTTAGTCTTGGCTCAGCTTCTATGACGAGTTTCAGCTGGCCAAGCAGGTCGTGCAATTGCTCGAAGTCAACCGTAACGCCGAACCAGATACCATGTTGTCTTCCGGGTGAACGGTACAGAAAACCCATGAGCGACTTTTTCGCACCTTCCCAAAGGCGCTGTAGAGGACCCTGACGCTTCTGATGGGCAATTCTTGTGAAGAACAGTGTTTGGCCGGCATCTGCCTTTAACTTGCGAAGAGAGTCACTGACCAATGTAAATACGGTGTCTTCAAGAAACTCTAGGTGCTTTTCCAAGACCAAATAAGATTCTAGTGCCTGCACCACGATATAATTGAGACGCGACCACCAGTCTGTAAGGTCAGGCAACGGGAGGCCGTTCAGATCGATTTTGCTCCATGCTCTCTTGAACGCACTAAAATCAGCATGTGATTCTAGAAGTGTTGGGGCTAAGCCATGTGTCGCCCAAGATTTGATCCTGTCGTCCATTCTAGCTGAAATTGGTTGATCCTGTAGAAAGTGTGGCCGTTCTTCTCCAGTGAACCGTTTAAGGTCCTCCACAGTTTTATCGTGCTTCAGATAGTGAAAATTTATTACTTGCAGTAGAGCTGCGCTGTGGACAGTGAATGTAAAAGGCTTCAAAAGCTTGTCGAAGAATGTAGAGGGCAACCTTTCCCTTAGAACTGCGCGCAAGCATATGCCATGAATGCCCCCCACACAAAAATTCATATTTTTACGCACACATGAAACTCTGTGCAGCAAATTCAAGCAGAACCGCAGTTGTTCTAGCTGCACCTAAACGTTACCTACCCTTTCTGGCTTTCTGGATCCTGATTTCTCTCGTGCTCTTGAGCATCCCTGCAGTGGATTTGAAAAATATGTTGCGTACAAACCCAGGGACAAACCCATGCGAGTAAAGTATCCTCGCCCATGTAGGCTTCTGGAAAACGGCTTCCTTTTGCTGCTGATACCCTGATGCGACACAAGCACTCTCTCTCCCACACGTTTAATTATTCAAAGAAAGTCAGTTCGCAGTTATACCGTATACATGCAGTAGGGATATGGCGTACCTTCCCGAGAGCTCAGGAACGCGAACACCCACATATGCGTAGGGCTCGGCAGTGGAGCAGCAAGTTCCGTAGCACTGGGCGTGAATGGCGTGTCCCTGACTGCCAACATGAGCGGACTGCGCGTGTCTCCCAGCATTAACTGAATTAAGGATAGCATTGTAGTCCGCGAGCCGCCCACTGACAAGGGGCTTGGGACTACAAAGGTTCAACACACCACAAGCGCACGATGAAAATTCTTCCGAATTTCTTTTTAGAGTTGCTAGATATACATTGCAGCCTCTAAGTAGCTTACGGATCGCATAGAGGGCTAGGGCCACTCGCATTCCATCAGAAACTGCCCGAAGGTCCTTCAGGCGGCTGGCAGCTGCTTGCACTTCATCGTCTGAAATTTCACTTCCAGAGCTCTGCAGCAGTCTCCTACCGATAGCCTCCATTCCCACGGATCGTAGAACATCTATAGTATCTGAAGAGCAAGCATGAGCAACAGTTCGCCTTTGTCTGAAGCTGGAAGGTTTGATCAATGTCGCATCACCTAGAATCTACTACTCATGCAACTTGTTCGGGCGTCCATTGCCGTGTCACACATACGCTTCTTAAAATCCTGTGCAGCGCGCTTGAAATTGCGCCTGTCAAAGGCAAGCCAGTAGTTTGATGCTGAAAGCACGTGCCACAAAAAGCCACCAGACGTGTAATTTGAATCGTAGCGCACTGCTGACAGTAAGTGCTAGGCTGCAGATGATGTACTCCTACGCGCTGTAATGGCTTACCATTGTCTAGGGATGAAGTTGTTAACATTGTCGCTACTGCCAAGTTAAGCCTCTCTAAGATCCAGTCCTTGCCTGAAAGAATGTTGGGCAATCATAACCGAACGCTGGTGCACACGATAATGGGATTACCGCCTCTATATTGTTGCTCATATATAATTACCTTCCTCAATCTGTTCATTCACTGGACGGGGCAGCAGCCCCCAATCGGCCCCAGTTAAGTTTCCTCCTTGACCTGAAGATGTAGAAGCCAACACACCGCCACATATTAGAGGAATACGTAAGCCACACGTAGTTGGGCCAGTTCTGGGAGCTTGAACAGCCTCGGCATGGGGGTATACGGAAGCGCTCTCCACTTACGCGAGCTGAGCTTGCAGTCCAACGCTCCTGAAAAAAACATCGCACTTGAGCATGAATCCACTGTGTGTAGATCCCAACGGAAACTCATCCACCATGGTGGTCAGGAGGAGCATGCGAATAATGAAGTGCTAGCAACGTACCTAATCCCGAGATTGTCGTGTGAGCTTGTTTTAACAATTCTGCCTGGGCGCTATGTCGAATCTGCTGATCTGTATCATCTTCCATTTTCACCAACTGCTGGCTATCTAGTGCAAGTCGAGATTCTTCAAAAATGCAGGGTGCGAGAATGTGGCCGTCTTCCCCAGGCAAGCATGTTTCAGCATGCAAACGTTTCATGTTTTGTAGAGGCGAAATTCCAAGTTCAACAGGCACTCCAGCGGCTGCCAACGTAGTCACATGACCTGCGACGACTGCGCATTAACAATCAAAAGAACAAGACGTGTTGGTGAGGTGTAGATTGTCACGTTGCGACCTGGCAAGTAGTGGGCCATGGTAAATCATTGTGGTTTTGAGCTAAGTGTGTACGGGTTGGCGTACACTCGCCAAGAGAAGAGATGAGGCGGTCTATCAGCTCGCAAAACGTGCGGTGACTTGATTCCCTCAGAGATGAAACGCGCTTGTGCCTCCTGTTTTGTTGAATTCCCCGTGGGCTCCGCCACTTAAAAAATTTTTCAGTGAGAGACCTGCTCCTTTGCACGGAGCACATCGCATCGATGTGGGAACTGCTCTGCCCCCCAAGGGATGCAAGCAAAGAAGGCCAAGAAAAGAATGGAAGGGTTATACTATCTTCTCCGAAGTAGGAGTCGAAGCCGGTGTAAGCAATCAGTAAGTTCCAGAACAGACCAAGCACTGAAAGGCAAAGAAAGCAATCAAATGGAATGATAATGAAACGCTAACTTTAGAATCTTAGCATAATCGAGAATCTGAGATAATTACGGATTAATACTCCTTTGATAAATCAACATGATTGTGCGCTCACTCAAAGGATTGCGAGCACCGACAATGGGCACTATGGAACGCGGAAGCTGCGAATTATGAAACTCTGGGTGCCCTTCTTGTTTCACCATGTGGTGGTGGACATCTTGGAAGGCTACCCGTACTTGCCCAACCTGAGGGGTAATTGCATCGCCACCTAAGACAACCCCTGCTATACTGCGCAATTTGTCTAATAGAAATGCTTTCAAGCCTCCTTCATGCGCATTTGTGTCGAACTTGTTCGATAGCAGGTTCCATAGGAAGAATAACTGGGGCTTGTGTGTCCCCGAGGGAATTCCGTCCTGTCCTTGGATGGCTGACTCTCGTACAAGTTCTAGAAATTGCGCAGACAATTCTTCAACGCTGGAAGCAGCTTTAGGCACCTCGTGTCCGTAGAATGCTAGCCAGAGCTCTGCAGAATGGCCCAACACCACACAAACCGACTACTCCTGAACTTTAAAGGTAGCGGCACAGGAAAACAAGCGACACCTGATGAAGGTTGCTTGAAGTACTGAATCAGCTAAGTAGTTTTGTTACACAGAAGGCGCATAGTGGGCATCGAACTTATCAGGTCCTTGCTCAAAATTCCCTCATTGACTCACTGTTCGTAGCTTCTCCGAGATCATTGTCACTCAACATTAACTCCAGTTCCCCAATGTTTTGCTCCCGAGTCGGCTGCTGCGGCAAGTCAAGGGCAGGACTATCGGCTGGACAAATGCGGTCCAACAGATCTGCGTACTGCCCGGAGAAACCCGGTGTTCCACCTGAATCGAGACCTTCCAATGCCGAATCTAAAGTGACTAAAGAAGGAGTGAGAAAATTAGTTGGCCCTTCAACTTCATATTCAGGAGTCACCGAGAGACTATCTGCCATCGCCGCCATTCTCCAGCTGTAGGGCGGCAAGGAGAGCAAAGTAGACAGCGCAAAGATACTGAATGCTCCCAACATGGTGATCTTCACTTCTGGGGTTCTCTGAGACACCGAGAGGATTGTTACGAGACCGGGGAGATACAGCAGTCGAAACATTGTCTTCTGGGGTTGTGGCAGCTGTGTTCGTCAACTTCATTTGGCAAATTCAAACGGGCAGGCGTAGCTTTCGTCGAAGCATGAAATTTTCACTTGAAGAAATTAAAGATATATACAACGAATGAAGGGTAACTGATTACTAAAGAACACAGAACCACCACACAGTTGCTGCTAGCTTTGATTGTGCCGGCGTCGTCGATGGTGACCAACGACACGGTTCTGCTGCAGAGCTCGATCGTTTCACCGCTGTCTCGCGCACGGTCTTCCCGTGGAATCCCTCACTGGTAGTCCATATATATATATAATATTATTTCTTATAAACTTATTTCTATGCCCACTTCAACATGCGCCGGTGGTGTTGTCATCGTAACCCTCTAACCTTCGCCTCGACATTTACTGGCGAGTTCGGTGGATGTGACCCTGGCACTGACGTACAGCGAAGATTTTGCATCCTCGGTCCTTGAAAACAGTCCCAATTTACACCGTGTCCAATTTCTGGGACGTTTGCTGGCTAGTTGAAAATTTCCTAAGCCCTTGTAACATTCATGCATCCAAAAAGGACAGATGAGCGCAACGTTGGGCATTCCGACTTTCCGTACCACACAGACTCACCGTAGCGCGGCTTTGTCGTATCCTGTCCTGCTTGTCTAAGGAGCTATCAGTGCCCTAAATGGAAATTGGTGAATCTTGAAGAGGCAATCTTGCAACCTTCCTCGCAACGATCGACTGGAACGCTGCAGTATGTCGGTTGCACATCTACATCTACAACAAAAGCACGTTAAGTACAAGCTACGCACTCTACACGGAGGAATCTCATAGTAGAATCCGCATGAGCCCGTAACTATTTACCTAACCTTCCTTAACTATGGACGGACGGAAATCATAAGGAAGTCTCGACCGCTGCTCACCTAGCCGGCACTGCACTTGTCCCACCCCTAAAGAGCCTTAAGCAGTGAAATACCTACTAAGCTGTGGATCATCATACTTATAAAATTAGTCAACCATTATTAGCCACATGGGCAACTGAAGACCTTCTAGGCAGCCGTGTCTTCGTCACCACAAATGGTGTTTTGCCAGCAGCCACAAGCACAATCGCGCAGCAGGCGGCTGAGCCCAACCACAACAGAATTCGACGTACTTGCCCCTCGTTACTACCTTCCACTTCCTCCTCGTAACCATCATGACGTGAATTGACCCGCTGCTGTCTCCATGAATGCACAAACAGTGGGGTTCCTCTTGCCATCTCAGAAAGTGACGAAACACCGAAAAGGAATGAGGGACCCACTGGCCATATATGGTGAACTTCCTGGACTCTACGGCAGTACTGGACTAGACTGCCTGAATTCAAGAGCACTCTTTGTAGTTCTCCGCGATCTGAACATCAAAAGAGAGCATACTTCAGAAAGGGCATGCTGAAGGCTAGAGCGGTAGTGCACACGTAACTACAGCTTATGCACTAACGTTCAAAAAGAGCCAGCTGTGCTCCAACAGCCTACAGCAATTAGTAGAGCCTTCGTACCAGGGAAAGGTACAGAAAAGAGGATCGCCAAATGCGCGAAAACTGTAGCATCCAATACACTTGCCCTTTGCCCTCCAAGGTAGAGCTTCCCCTGCAGCAGCTGCTCAACAGCTCGAAGAGCACGACAGATGCTGTCAACAGCTAACAGTTCTTCGACAGTAGCTGCATCATTCGTTGTTACGCTGTCCTCCGAGTTGGGAAAACGCCTTCTTAAATCCTCTGGAAGAATACGGGGGCTAATGTGGGCGGCTGTGGCAGCCCCCATGGTGCGCCTCATGGTCCAACAGTAGTACTTCCCGTATACACGGCCGAAGGTGTTCTCAAGCATTGGTTTCGTGAAACAACGAAATGTCTTCTCGTCCCTCCACATATAGAAGCGCTACACGCAGCACACATGACCTCCGAGTACAGCTAATGGGCTTAATACGGCAGCAGCTGTAGGCTCGTTCTGGGGCTGGTTCACCTCTATCTTACAGCACAAGCGAAGGCAAAAGTGATCCCGAAAAGACAGGCAGAAAAACAGCATGCACCAGCAATGGATGTGCAGCAGATCCTCGAAAAAATAGTGTGCCTTACCAGTGCTATTTCTACAGCCTGTTGCACCAATTCCGTGACTGCGAGCTCTGTAGCTTGTTCAAGTGAAGCAGAAGGACAGCTTCTGCAGAAGCAATGCCTATAAATATGAGCATTGAGAGCAAATTCACCTCTGTTCGCTGTTACTGGTCCACTGCACTCCTGGGCTGGGGCATGTGAAGAGCAGTTGGCCATGTGCAGCTCCGGGGCATGCACTTGAGAATGTGCAAATGACCTAAGAGCCTCCAACAATGAGTAGCCACTCATCACCACGCCTGTTCTAGGATCTATAGCAGCAGGGAGGGCTGGTCCACTGCTCGCTGGGGGCCACCATGATCTCGATGACGGTCCTCCGCGCCAAGACAAAAACGGGAAGGGAATCTGTTCCCATGTAAATGAAAGTGGGAGACCCAGCATCCGGTGCAAGGACACAGCTTCCAGAGTCTGGGGGCAAACGAACATTTCCCCTATGAGAGGGTCAACAGCTCGTGCTGCGTGAATTTGAAACACGTACACGTTGTCAGCACAAGTAGTTCCTTCTACAAAGGGTGAGGCAGGGAGAAAATCTTCACTTATTCCCCTTTCTGGGGCATTTCCTTCATCTCTGGGGAATCCTTCGACAACGTTTTGGTCTGTAGATGTGTATCCTATCCCTTTGGCATTCCTCTGAGAAGAGGGAAGCGGCTGAATTCGCTGCTCCTCATTTTCACCACCCCCGCCTTGCTGCAGACATGAAAAATCTGCGGTGTCTTGATAAGGCTGTTCGATGTTTTTCTTCATATTATACACTCATCTGTACGCCTTTTTCAATAGTACTATTGCCAAAAGCGCTCGTTCAGGCTTACGACCGACCTGATAACTTGACGGTAGAATGCGGCGCTGAACAGTTAAGGCCCTCGCTGCTATTGTGTACAATAAGATGCCGGGAAATGCAAACTCATCAGAAACTCCCCAAAATCGGACGTTGCACCTTTTCAGAGTATTTAGTAGCACAAAAAAGAAAAGACAGCCCGATCATCTGCGATCAGAGGGAACTCCCATGAGCCCAAGGCCAGCATGGCTCTCCCTCATTGGTAAGCATCCGTTGTAAAACCAGCCTTTTCCTCCTATAATTGTCTTCTCCTGCAACCCAGTTCTTCTGGTGTTGAGCTGGTCACTTCTTATGGGTCCGTGACGCTCTAACGAACTCCCCTCCCTCCGGCGGCGCCTCTGGTGATGCCAGCTGAGATATAATCAAACACATCAATCGGGTATATAAGTGTAGCAATGGATAATGACATTCATTTTAGTGGGGAACAACCCCACTGATGCTTCTACTCATGGGGGCCCCGTCTGCCCTCCAGCTAAAATGCATGCAGGCGCGCAAACAAGAATGAAAACAGTGCCATACATAACAAGGTGATGCCTGAGGTACGTAACAGCTAATAATAATACAAGCAGGTCTGCCCCATTTTTCTGTTCCAATCGTGCTACTAACTGCTAGAGTTGCTAGCCCCACCAATTACCCAAATTCGCTACGGTGGTCTGTCAGGTAGGAACAATCCTTTCTGTAACGTCGATTTATCCCTATGCGTTTTCCCCTGGAATTTTGTCGCGGGAACAAGTATGGTGTAACTGCTGCTTCCCAGTGGGAAGTTCCCAGGTTGAAGCTGGCAGTCTGTCTTCGCTTCCAGGGGCTGAGCCGCTTGCTGGGGTTGAAATAGATTCTTCTCCTACTCAGGCCGTTACTGCACACTACATACGGTGTGCGTTTGTGAAATTTTGATTGCATGTCACCTAGTCACGTCTCTTGGCCCTTGAACGTTGGCCAAGGGGCATTGCACTGTGTCTACCGTCCTCGAGTGCATCTCTTGGTATCAAGATGGCTGCATTGGCTTGTAATTAGTTTCAGTTGTTGCGCAACCCAGGCGACCTTCGGCTGCCTCTGATGCTTCGTGCAGCACAGCCCCGAGCATCTAGGCAACGAGATGCTTGCCGAAGCTGCTGAAGACTGTAGCTGCTGAGGCCTTATCACAACCGGCAGAACAAGTCGAACCCCGCGGTTTTCTGGTCTCATGTCCTGTTGACTTTTCTCGCTGCACTTGCGTTTCCTAACTTCCAGTGAACGAACCAGGAATGACGTAATAACTAAGGCTTGTTTCAGCGAGCCGAGGGTCTCGTTGACGCTGAGCGATCGTGCAGGAAGCCCAGGCGAGAGGAACATATGCAAGCATGGAGGAAAGAGGCTCACTGTCGTTAGGGTAGAGGAACTATGCAACAGCAAAAGAACAGTTGGCTCATCAGAACATACAGACAATATTCGGGCTTCCTGGATTCTGAAACGGCTACCGGATAATCAGGTGAGTCCCAACTTTATGCTAGTGCCTTCAGTAGTTGACCATGGAGCAACGATGACCTGTGTATGCTCACAAAGGATATTATGGCATCTCCATGTTTATAGTACGTCAACCAGATAAGCTAACGCTTTGACAAGAAAACGAACAGCAGAAGGCCTTAGACAGCGGGCAGCCGGGACCGTCGGCACTTCGCTCACCGGAGCGTTCCTGAGCCCATGCAGATCAAAAACTAAGTTTGCTGGGTTGACGTACTTGCTTAACTTGGTTTGGTGCAATTTCCGCCTTGGTACTCCTGCTCTCTCCATAAACGTTCCCGCTCTGGTGGAAGATGTTTGGGGCAGCCCGGGGCTGCGGGCATACGGGCTGGCTTGCGGTAAGATTTAATGTCGTGGTGGTCAGCGGTGCATTGGTGTAACCTAGGGATGGTGGAGGCCCACGCCTGCAAGACTGCGAGGCTGTATTGTAAGGGAATTCCACAGAAGGGAGGAAAGCAGGCCACTCTGAACATTTCTGCTGGGTATAAACTCGAAAGTACTGGACCAGTGTGAGACTGCTGTATTCGGTGTGGCCGTCTCTCAGCAGAAGGCTTGCCGTCGTCATACCCTTCTCGATGCAAAACCGCTTAACAAATCTCCCCAAGAAGGGGCTAAGGGGATTCGAATTTATGAAAGTGATGATACTTTTCGGAAGGCCGCGGTGATTTTAGGGACGAGTCACTAGTGGTTGAGCCGTTGCGTCTACGGTAATTGAAATGAAACAGGCGTAGAGCGGGCCTGCTGGCTGCGTCTATGAGCTATGATGTACATGCAATCGTAGCTTCCAAATGCTGTGTGTGAGCTGCATCTCCACTGTGCGTCATACAGACGCTTTGGTCCCTTTTTGGTAATTAGGTCAAGTAGGGGCAATGCGAGCGAATCCGGGGCTGAAGATGGAGTACTACAATGGGACTATGACGAACTTATAATTGCCAGCGCTAGTGTACAAGGGTAGCAGGCAGCTCCGAATGGCCTCCATCTTCTCCCGCTGTGGCCCGACTCTCACTGCCAAAACATGAAACTCTGAGAGGCTAATTATTTGCATTAAAGCAAGCGCTTTTGTGCTCACAAGATCCACTAGTTTCTGGCATAACAGCTGAACAACCAGTCGGAGGTACTTGTATTCTTTCGCATGCTTGTCTGTCTACTCCTCAAGAACAGAACTGCATGCATAGGCACTAAATGACGATTAAAATTTGCATCGTCTTAGCACTTCATATGCTTGCAGGTTGATCACGAATTCAAGATGTGGGGATCTCCGACAACTTGGAGAAATGCTTGGGGCTTCTCGGGGGTTACCTCGATCAGTGCACTGCGCGCCCAACGGGTGGAATTGCGCCCAATTCTGCCGTTGCTCGTCTGTTACGTGTTAAGGCATTGCTTAGCCAAAAATAAGACAACGACGACGGAGTGTATGCACTTCGTCGTTTTCGTGGGACCTCGGCCCTGGGTAGGACTTTCTTGACTCCATTCCCCTTGGGAGACTACTTCAACACCTCATCCCGTAGAGGAGGCAAATGCCGTTTCCATCACTGATATATGCACTCCTTCTTCCTTTCCTGGCGCGTAAACGGTGCTGCTGCCTCCAGGAGGGCGCCTGTCCATCCCCCACTGGGTCCCTCGGAGCATCTGTAAGCAATCAGGAGGATGTACTGTGTACTGTGACGATGGCCCGCTACACATATGTATATATTTAACTAGAGAAGTTTGCATATGCCGCTCTCATGGGCCGCAGGTTGCACTTGGGGTCAGACGTGATCACCTTGTTCGTTCGCCTGGATTAGCTGCTAAAGTGGTTGTTTCACTAACTCTTTCACTGCTTGTATGCTTCTGTAATTTCAAACTATTTTTATTGAATGAGCAATAGGAGCGCCGCAGCACGGTCCCTACCGGTTTTCTGCGTCCCCAATTTCCCACCTGCCGTCGGAGTCAGCTCTTCATTCTTTTTTAGGTGGGAACTGCGTTCTTCGCCCCAACCTCCATATGATCACTATCCGATTGCTTAATACATGCTTCGTCTGCTCAGATATTTGTGGTGGGTAGATATTCCCTTATCTCCGTGAGGTCGACATTTGGCCCTTTGCTGCAGCCAGTGTTGCATGCTAGTACAACAAAGTCTGCTTTTCTTCATTTGATAAAAGTGTAGACAGGTGAGTCTCTATCAGTAGCCTGCGCCCTAGTATCAGTACCCGGACATCTTTAGGCAGGCCATGTCACCCGGTCCTGTCACCGTGCCCAGGGCACATGGACTCTAAGAGGGTAGTTAAGTGCTCTCTGGAAGCCATATTCTTGAACAGTCTGACTCGCTTTGAGTTTACGACTGTTTCCCTCCAAGGCATTAGTACTGACGAGGTGACCGTTGTGACCGGTGGCAGAGTACTTCAATTTCAATGTGCAGCAAAGGCACAACTGTACCTAAGCATTCTTTTGTTTTTCGTAACAAACGTGTAGCCAATTAAACAATAGTCATTCTCCCAGTAGCTAGTATGTACAGCATGCATGATATGCAGATCAACGCTTGTGTTGATGCATCGCTCACCCGCACTTCCACTGGGTCGGTCACCGCCACTGTATCATGTAGCGGTGTTAGCACTGTCTGTAGTGATGATCCCTAAACATACAGTCCATTATTGAAGATTTCCAGATACTGCTTAATTATGGGGGCGTTTTTTAGCAGCTGTGCTTTGCGCCCCAGGAAGCCACACCAGTTCTGTAGCAAGACGAAGCATCGGCGCAGGAACGGTCCGTTGAAGGATGCTCATTCTGGCAAGCTGCAGAGTATGGAGTTTGTCTAACGCTTCTGGCAATTGCATTTTACCCTTTATCTGTCATTGCTTTTGAGTCACACTTTCCTGGTGGAGTTCCGTGCAGGTTAGTTCTGCATGGGAACTTTAACCGTGCAGCAACCCCGGACATTCTCCTGCTCAAACACTCACTCCAAATTGAAGGTTTCTAATACGATTGGTGCTCCCTAGTTGAGCAAACTTCCTTCTTTGTATGGTACATTCTCGGCTATTAGACGAGGGAAACGGGTGTACTAATCCTCATACAATTAAGGCAATATTCCCCGTTGAATCTCAGCGGGTTCACCCCGCTTCACGTTCTAGAATAGACGCGAACTGGGTAAGTTGAGCATCAACTGAAAGTTTGACACTTTCTAGAAGGCTCCGCTACTGCGGTGCCAACACGCGGATTCACCCTTCTTTGTCAGCAGTCCGGCGGGTTTTATTAGGTTCCATAGTGCCTGTATGCATACAATTCAGAATGCTTTGTGGATGGAGTTTACCTCCACGTAAGAGGCTGACACAGAAAAGTAACAGCGAACGGTGAGGGCAAGCTCCCTCAAAAGACTGCCAAGGTTCTACTTAGACGGGCCAGTTTCAGTGCTGTCCACCATGCACTCACACAGCCAGCATCCGATAAACCGGCAGCCCGCAAGTTTATACCTGGTGAAACAGGATTTACCATCCCATGAGAGTGCAGGGGAAAGTCGCCTTCGCCCTCACGCATCACGAGGAAGAGGGAAGCCTTTAGCCGCAGCAGCGATTGTCTTGGCCGTTCTTATTCGCGGGTGGTACTGCGTGATGGCAAAACCCACTCTGCCTCCAGCTGGGGGAGGTCGCATTTTGCCAGGAAGCATAAGCAACGATACGGAAGACAGCATAGGATCGGGCGAAGAGGCAGGGCAGACACAGAAGCTTGGTCCGGATACAAACCAGCCGACACCCCCGGTTGTTCCGGAGAAGAAGATTTACGAAATGAAGTTGGAGCCCCAAGAGTACGAGCGGCCTAAAACCGCAGATATCGACTGGATGCGAGTTTGGATGGAGGAGAGCACCAGCGGTCAAGGTAGCATAGGTGGTTATGAGCCGCCGGAGACATTCCTTAACTCAGTAAGGGAGAGCAGATCCACCATCGTGCGTAGGCAAACACTTGGCTTGCAAGAGTACATTATTCTGGAAAGAATGTTGAAGAGACCATTGCTTCCAGCGGTGCTGTGTACTGTCTGACTGCACAGAAAACCCGCCAGATGTTTGAGAAGATAGTTGGCCTTGGAGGTAAGCAGATTGATTGTACCTCTTCATGTAAGCCTTATATTCGGCATTTACGCGAAATGCGTAGAACTGGGCTCACACCGAGTAGCTAGCAGCCCCCAACTGAATACAGTGTACTGCTACCTTTGTACGCGCGACTTCAGGTACAATGGAGCTTCGAAAACCCTCCACCACTGGGAAAGGAAACTGGGTTACTTTCATGATCACGACGACCCCCGTGTGTCCCACGACACACTGGTTGCTAGCTAGTCCTTGGATATGTATTTATAGGGACTGGTGTATGTGGCATATATTAGTAAATCTTCGGACTGTGCGGTTTCCCACATGCCTTTTATCAAGTATTCCTTGTGTACCTTGTGGAGGGGAATTGCAGTTTTGCGACTGTGGGTTCATATAATTTGGCGTGCTTCACAGGAGCCATGGCTCACCGAAGAGGAGCTGGAAATGCACCCGCTGGGAGGACTCAGAGTAAGCTTCTGCGTTCATAGAAGTAACTAGGAACTATGAGATGCTTCAACCCAAATTTAAAGGGAGTAAATAATTCACCATACTCCCTAGGCATTAGGGTTCCGGCTGGAAAAGCAAAGGGGGTGCTCCGATAGGTTTGGTGTGCGCACTTTTGCTGTGCACAGAAGCAGTTTTCTCCACTCGCTGCGGAGTTTGTCGAAGACGCCATAAGGGATCTGACTAAATCGCCACACGCTTTTGTCGGTGAGATACACAACTATGAGACTGCGGGTTCAGCGTGTTCGTTGAACGTGTTAGCTGAACAGTATCACTTGTATTATTCCATCAGTTGTAGGTAGGCTTACCGGCACGGCGACTTAAGAGGTTGTGTTTGCAGGGTACAACCCATACAAAGAAGTCGACCTTGACGGCTATGGGAAAATTTTGATCCAGCGTAAGCTCGCCGCGGTATCCTTTCGTACATACCATTTGACCCTCCCTCTCACACGGACCCACTGCAGCCAATTAAACCGAATAATTAAGTGGATATTCCGTATTCTTGACTGGGAAGACCATGGTCAGTGCCGTGGGCTGCGTTTCCGAGTTCTCAGTGACAAAGGATAAGCAGTTCAGCCCTCATCGTATCCTTCCTCCACACAGCAAGGCGAACCGCCCTACCAGGGAGTTGCGGACGGAAGTTCATGTTAAAAGCCACGTTCGCACTGGCCCTGCACTTTTGATGGCGTTTGCAACGCAGGAAGACTTCTCCCCTATGGCGAAGCCAGTAGTGGTTACTTAGCGTAATTGCACCAAATTCTGTCCGCAGTGGCGTGTGTGCGTTGTAGGACGAAGCTGCAGAAGAGATTGAAACGGCATTGAGAACTGGGAGAGGTGGGCCACGGTGACGACGTAGAATAATGGGGACACATCGGTAAACAGGTGGCGTATTTTCTCTGTGGAGGTGGCAAGGTCACTTACTTTGTGGCAATCCTCATCACCAAACTGCATCTTGCCCTTCTGCGTGCTGTGGGTCTCTGCGTTGCAACCAGGGGTACTAGTGTGCCACTTACCAACAGTGGACATTGCAGCTGTTTTAAACCAACCGGTAGGTCTGCTGGTTGCTCTGTATGTTGCAGTATTGAATAGAGAGTTGGGTCGATAGCTGCTTCGCTTCGACGTGCAGTGGGTGTCGTTCAGGATGGGATTGATGAACCTGTACCTATATTGGATGAGGAATTCGGCGTAAGGAACTGTCACGGATGTTACTTGTTCTTCCAGGGTGTATTTACTTGTGATTCGTGGGTGGTTCGTGGACAAACCAACCGGGGAGAAGTATCTGTAGAGTCTAAAGTAGGCTTCAGTTCTGCTGCCCCTGCGCCGTAATGTACCACTTAGGAATTAGATTTATTTCGTCAGAAGCTGGAAGAAACGATGGAGGTGTTCGTGGAACATACTGTTCAGCGTTCAGGTGAGCGTAACTCTGGTTCGCTCTCACTGATGAATTTGCACTGGCAGTACCCTCTAATAGAAGGGTATGTGAATCGTGTCTTTTTGCAGATAATTACAAGGTTATTCGGATAACACAGAGCCCGGGAGTGCGAAGAACAACAGTTGTTTCCTTATATGGTACGCAGGGTAGAATCTAAAGAAATAGAACGCAGCCAGAAACGCACTCAGTCTGCATAGCGTCCAAGCACGCATCTTCAAAACACCCGTCCGTTCCGAATTGGACCGACGACAAATATGGTATTTCGTTGCGGTCAATTTCAGGGAAAGCGAAGTAGATATGGGTGTAACCCTGGGCATCTAGCTCACACTCCTTTCTATCGGGAATCTCAGCAATCTCTCTTGTAGTACGAATTTCGCCTTTTCCTGGCATTTCGCTGGCCACGTTTCTGTTGGCGTGCTATGTAAAACCGAGTCTATGAACATCTAACTCATTCAGGACAGTACAGCTGTACTGTACATGCATGCTGGAATCCACTTTGCCCTGTAGTGGCTGGGATCTCTCGACCATTTTTGAGCATGGTTGTAACGCCCCTACAATTATTCGTCATTGAATGTTTTCGGAGGGGCCCGTAGGCAGTTAGTAGAGAATAAAGCTAGGCAGCTAGTCCAGGATTGGAAGGAAAGGGGAGTCGCTGCGGAACCGTCCTACTAGCTAACACTGAACAACGATGGTACAGGACTGTGGATGCATCGGCAACATTTTCGACGTACGTAACTTTTCCTTTTGTGTATGGTAGCGATGCCATGCCTCTTGTTGTTTAATTATTCAACGCCCGCATCAAAATACACTCCCAGTAGAACAGTGTTGACGTATTGAACATATTGCAGCACCTCTCCGCACCTGTAAAAACTGGTTGGAATTGTTGGGGAAGACGGAGGCAGAAGCCCAACTGTCTGTACTATTGCTCCAACATGCCAACACCGCCTACCCATCAGGACACTACGTGAACTGTCCAGGATATTTGGCACCACAGAGAAACGGGCACCTACCGTTTGCTCTGAAATACAATTCACACTAGTCGAAAGCGCACGTAAACACATGGGACAAATGAAAACTTTGCAGGCTGAATCGGAGAAGGGGTGCATCAGAACAGCAGTTTGACAGGGGTTAATTGCCTGGGGTTTCGAGTCCTCGTGTTTGGTGACAGTGAATAAGGATTGTATCCTTGATTGAGGAAGTGGAGGCTGTCGGGTAATGCGAAGGAACGCCCTTCCGATGGTAGTTGCCAGCTTTACGCTTGTGCTCTACTCTGCCATGCCCAGTATGGACGAACAGCAAAGGCGGATGCATGCAAGACAGTCAGAAACGCTTTTTTTTGTGCAGTTCTCAAACAGCCAATTCCCAGTGTTTGTGGACGACATCAAACAAGAAAGCAAACCCAGAAAGTGCGTTGTGTTCTGTCACTGGCACAACATACGTCCATTCTTTTAGCCTTCGCTTGGAGTACTGTGAACTAGGGAGGCATCTGGCAAGCAAGCATTAGATCGAACACCTTACGGCGGCTGATTGCCATCCCGTAAACCTTGTCACTGAATGGAATACGGTGCTCTTCCTGATGCTGCAGAGCAGGAAATGCACAAGTCTTTATCCCGCTGGGCGGGCACTCACTGTGAACGATCATGGTCTATGCTTGCTTTGAAATGGGAGGAATTCAAAAGGAGCCAATGTGACTTCTGCGCAACTCTTCAGTCCAGTGTTGGCTGTTTCAGACGGCAAGCAATCGAGTTGTGACACAACCATCGGGGATCGAGCGCTAAAGGCCTAAGTGGCAATAATACTGCCTGGAAAGGCACACAGCTTCACTTCGGTAGATAATCAGTTAGCCGTCTGCAGGCGTGCTGTCCACGTCAGCTCTTGGCAGTCTGAGGATGGAGTACACTCTGCACCTATATATCCGTCATATTCCAGCGCCCTGAAGACACTTGAATACGGCATTAACAGGGCAGGCCCCTTACAGCTTAGTTCCTCCTGCATATGGGTTGTGCTGCGTCATCATCCATCAATGGTAAACCTCATAACCGGCTGGTCTAATTCGCACGATGTACCTATCAATTCCAGATGGCGCTTAGCGTCAAGCAGCCAGTTGAATGCGTCTCTTTCTGCTTGCCCAGTGGCGAACACAAAGTAGTACAACCCGATTATTAGCCTCGTTAGACACGCAAGAGAAAAGGCGATCGACCACAGATGTGGCATAATATCCTTACGCCGCCACGCCAATTCTAGATGTATTTGCCCCTCTGCCACGCTTCTAGTGACAAAGTTACTGCGTGCTCACGGTGATCGTCATGCTATTTTGTATGATGAATGCATCTTCTCTACTGTCCTGCACTGTTCTTACAGGGAAGCTTTCGTGAATGTTGTTATTGCTTGTCGAACCGGGAGAGGCTAAATGACATCTCTCCGACGAGCGCATTAATAGCTTGATAGGTCAGTTGATAGGTCGGCTCAATTATACCAGAGCATCCTGCGCTTGACCACAGCCGGAATGGGTTTCGGACCATTCCGGCTGTGGTCAAGCGCAGCTGTTGAACCCTGCAACACTGAACATAAAGTGAATTCCCTCTTCCAGTCGATTGGTCTGTTGTGTAGCTACTGGACCCTGGGTTGTTGTGGCTTGTCTCTGCCGACGCAGCCGGCACAGTCTCCACAAAAATAGCGGTCACATCATTCACTGGTGGTGTCATGCAACTTGAAACCTGCAATTAGTCTATCAGCCAGGCTTGCAAATGGAACTTCGGAACTTCGTGAAGCACGGTTATTCAAATACACTGAATGCAGCCGTGTTTTCATCCCCTCTATAGCTTCTGAAATATCGTTACAATCCTGCCACATGGGGTTGGTCACGGACTTTCAGCATGTGCTCACTGCAAAAGCGTTTCCTGCACGGGTGCATCATTGTTCTTGGACCAAATAAAAGACTGCGTTTTATACCAAATGCTGTAACTGTACACATTTTGGAGAAAAGACACTGCTGCTGAAGGTTCTCCTCCAAACTGTGCACTGCTGTTGGTGTTCAACTCCAATGGTAAAGACAGCAATTCAAACGAACAAGGATCCTCTATAAGCATACGTTTTTGAGCTCTACACGTTCCCGGTGTAAAGAAGTAGGTATGCTCTAGAGTCAGTTGCTCGAAAGGGTCGAGAACCTGTAGGCAAAATGTAGTACCCCAATTAACTACTGCTTTTTTAGAAGGCCGCTTAAACCCTCTACACCCAAACGAGAAAACCAATCTCTTTCTGTGCTTCATTGTCCATGTTTCCCTTGTAGTTTATGGTGACGCTAGGCATGGGTTATGTGCCATTTTCTGGAAGCGAAGCACAGGCACTGCTGAAGATGGTGAAAATGCTCAACATGGTGGTACAGTCACACCAAACGTGTTCTCTGCCTGCTGCTCCTTAGGGCCCTACGCGATCATACAGTTCATAGATGACAGCATGGCTCCAGCTGGTCAGTGGCCAAGGAGTCTTGGAGGCCCTGATGCCCACACACCTATCAACGGGAACACGGATGAGACTGCAATACGGCATCCCAAAAGCCTGGCCTACGTTGCGTTCGTACGGAAAAAGAGTTTGTCGACGAATTGCCCTCGACCTAGTGCAAGCAGATGGCAGTGCAGGGCGCACAAAAGCCCGTATTTACCACGTAAGTTCACAGATTCCACAGTTACAGCATACAGCGATTGGGACACAGGTGTGCTGGTGGTTTTATTACAGTTACACAGCATATTAGCAAATAAGCAGACGCGATGAGAATTCATTGTGGTGACCTGAGACTCACCGAGAGAATCCAAAACGTGGTAAAAATTGTCGCCGTCGAACGTGAAAAGGCACGACCTTGTCATCATATACAAGTAGTCATTGTAATGCGAGGGCGTGCTGTCCTACAGAAAGACAATATTTGTTCATTTCCATGATAGAACTAGCCCGCAGTTTAGGTGCGTTCTTGCAGGAAATCGGGTCACAATTCATTGTGGTGACCCGAAGCTCACCCAGGGAATACAAAACGTAAAATTGGCCTTTGTTGGGTGTTGGTTGACACTTACCAGCAGTTGCAAAAACTGATTGAAATCATTGGAGCAATATGCAGCGTTAAATGTCTTACACAGCTCAACTGTGCATTCAGCATCTGCAATCATAACATGCTGAGCGAAAACGCTGCTTCGCGAGAAGAGCTCGGTGAGCAAGAAAAGCAAGCAGGAGGTAAACAGGGTATTCCGCAGCCCACCACTCGCAGATTTGAGCCTTGAAATACTAGGATACCAATGGGGCTCGCTGGGGTCAGGTAGAACTATTAGCAAGTCATCTTCCTCAAGCGCCTACACGATGGTAGCAGTAGCCACACCCCAATAATCTGAAGTCATTAGTGCGTACATCAAAGCCTGCAGTCCGCAGTATGATGCTTGTGGCTCCCACATGCTGGGTTGGGCCCATAACACACCTCCAGTAATGCTTCGGGTGATTCCGTGAATAGGTTACAATGCTGCTTGTGCATGAGCGCGATCCACTTAGGGACCACCACCTGCAAAGAAGACAATACAATGAAAGAGCACGTTGCGTGGCAAATGAGCCGCTCTCATTCCACACTACAACGAAAAAGAATCTAAGGCATCTGCTGGCGTGTGTTCTGTTTCAGGCGCCAGACCACCTAATTCATAACGTGAGTGACAATGTCTCATGATGTGGACACCCAAGCTGTGGCTGCAACCGCTACGACCCTCTGGGACGGCCAACCCCTTGCAGCAGCCGAGAGGCCCCGAATATGCCTCACTCTAACTGGAAAAGAGAGCTCCAAGAAGTGTGCCACTGCAATAGCAATTCCAGCAGGCGACAGTCGTCGCCTCCACCCATGATGCAATGCTATATCCACACCGTCGACGAGTACCTGCCGAACTACATGATTGTCGTCATAAGCCTGAACAACACTGTGCAAACGGTGTTTAGCAAGTGAATTGCAAACGAGTAGACGGGGGCTAACTTCAGGGAGGCTCATTCATGCAGGGAGGAGCCCGGCTTGTTGTGGTTATGTTACAGTTCGGATATTCCATCGTACTCGCTTCCGACTACATGTTGATACTTAGCTTTCACATCCGCTTCCCGCCTTCATGAACATGAACAATGGGCATAGACAGGCTACGCGTGCATTGCTTACCTCTAAGTTAACCTTTGGAAAGTGGCGCCACATTGCCATTTGGCTCTTCCCGGAATCTTTCCTAGCCGGAGATGTCAACTGACCTGATGAACGCGCCATTATACACATGCCACGGCTATTTTATTTCTACACGAGAGGGTCCTCAAATAAAGTTGTTACTAAAAGCTTCGGTATGCGCACATACGACACTTTACAAAAAGTGAAAGAGCAAGACCCACAGGTAACGCCCAATAACACCGTGCAAACTGCTAAATTTCCGTGCAAAAAGGCTATACTCACCAGTAGGCACACGCTCGCGGTGCCCTCTGCAGACAAGCTGGAAACCGTCGAAGTCTGGAGAGTTCTACATGACAGGAAGAAGCATCCCAACAAGAGCAAAATGCTGTGATGCTGCTGGAGTTGCGGACCACAGAACCCCTCAAAGCAGGCTTCGGAAGTGTGCCGTTAAAGCCACTGTGCATATCAAAATTAATATTAAGTAGCTGATGATTCTTCAGCGCTAGCAACTTTGGAAGGTCATCCTACGACGGGCATGTTGAGACTTGATGGTTGACGAGCTTTCGGGACTTCGCCTGGAGGCACGCTGGGGGAACTAGAGCAGCTCTGTTGCAGACCAGGTTTCCAAGGTATTTTTAGTTCACCTTCAGCGCCATCCTGGGGAGAAACTAGGAACCTGCGACCAGCCCTATTGCTTTTCAACATTTGTCCCGCTGATGAGCCACACTGTCCCTGTATAGCAGGGCTCACAGTTCTAGTTATTAAGAGCCCACAACACCCTGCGTTCCCGACTGGGAGCGCAAGATGAATGTAATCATTTGAGGAAAATGGATCTATGACATATGGCCTCCCTTCTATGTCAATCTCAAGGCGACCCCATGACTCGCCGCATGCATGCTCTAGCAGACTGCACTCCGAATCTGCCAGAGGATTCCAGATAGCAGTTGATCCGTATGTCTCTATAGAAGCCCAGAACCAGGTTGAAGGTGAATTCATTCGCATCTTCGATGCAGTGAAAACCAAATCCCCCATCGAAATTTCGACAGCCCCACCGATTACGCATCCGCTTAAATTCTGGTGAACTCAAGGTTCAGCTAGTTCTGTGTCCTGATTTTTTTCCAACACACTACTTCCAGTTTAGCTCGAAACAGGTTAGGCAGGACCAATATTCGAACAAAGGGAGCAATGCCCACGCCAACAGTGTTGCTAACAGCAACAGCCGATGCTCAAAGGGCGCCAACTCTGCGTAGGCTGCATGGAGGAGAAAAGACACTCAATTGGCCATTGGTGGCAGCTGTAAGAATATGCGCCTACAGCAAATATTCACATTCCGGTGCGATTCTGGAAGCCCCAATACGCCCTCAATGGACCAGGATAACCACCCGACCACCCCCGAGCGGAGGGTGGTGTAAACGATCCAGCACGGTGCTCATCTACGGTACATCGGATCTCTGCTTCTTTTAATCTGTTTTTTAGTACTTTCTGTGACCTCTTGGGAGGTCCTTTGTGTGCCGCATTGTCGATGCCAGTTTTCACCTCGGTGTAGTCTATGTCCACGGAGACAGAGAACAAATCTGCAAAAGTCAGAGGGGTTTGAATTCGAAAGCGGGCATATGTATCTGCAATTGAGATATATACTAGACGCTATATATTAATTTGGTAGTGTTTAGATTGAAATACACAATATACTTCGTTTTTGCGCATTCCATGTTCAATGAATTCCTCCAGGGTAGGACCCCACACGAGGGATTGGCCTTCTTTTGAGAGGAGCGGTGTTGGGATTGTGTCAGAATATGATACACCGACGAGGACCATCCGTGAATATCAGGCTATTTTCAACCGAGTCCCTTCCATCAGAGCGCTGGTCTCCTTGCCAGCTTTGACATTGACATTGTTGGCGGTCGTACACTTGCTGTTGAGTTGTTTTAGAAACGAGCGCATTGGTCGCTCAGTGAACATAGCTGTCAGATCACTTGCAGAAGGGGATAGACCATGTCGGATGACAGCTCCCGACTCTGATGATTATTACGGAGGGGAAGATGACCAGTGGATTGGGCAATATGATGAACCTTCAGAACAACCCCTTCCTGACGCTGAAGCTGATTCACTCTCATATCATTGGGCGATAGACCAAGCACAGCCTTCAACATGGCCGACACAAAGTACTACAGTTAAAGGTCGTGCCTCCGATGACCCGCGACTTGGAAGAGCGGAGGAGCCTTCCTTTCAACCCTTTCTGGAGGAATGGTCTACTGCGCATGTGCCTTTGTATACAAGAGGATTTGTTCAGCAACAGAGTTGGCTGTCCGATGGAAGGGACGAAAACGGAGCAACTTCTAGTCCAGGTCCTCCTACAGAAGGTGCATTGGGGCAATGGTTTCCTCAACGGCAGCACAAAAGGCAGCCTACTTGGAGGGCAGAAGTTGGGTTGGAACGCGGACAATTACCAGAAGCACTTTCGAAGAAGCTTGTAAGATTTTTCCGTCGGTCAGTAGGTACTATTGGGAAATGTAGAGATCTTTTGTACAAATTGGCCTCGCCGCATGCTCAATATCTGACGTGGATGATACTGAGACTAACAACATTTGACATGGCTGCTCTCACCCGCATTCCAAGCACCATAGTGCCTCATAGAATTGCGTTGGGCAGTAACATTCGTGCCCTTGCCAATGAACTGTATTTATACAGCCAGAGGATCGCGAACCCTATGTTCCTTCGCGAAATCCCAATTTTTGTTGAAATTATCGAAGGCATTCGAGATGCACGGGGGGTAGACGTAGAGTCTGCGCAAATTCAAAAGGTCATAACCCATTTGGAGACGAATTTGGCAGTGAGCAATACTGCACAGAAGTACTACACGGCTGTGGTGGAGGGATTACAATATTTGGCACAGGCGGGTCCTGTAGAACATGCAGGACACTTGGTGCGCCAGCAGCTTCAGGTGCTCGAAGGGCTGTGCACTGTGCGATCAATTCAGCTATGCCGACAAAGACGAACTCGAAAGCTAATCTTCGATTTGCAGATTTCAAAAGGGTCCCGGCCACTAATTGATATTATGCTTACCCCGGAGCACGCGCTCACGCTGCCAACTAATGAGACATGTTGGGAGCTCGATAATGCTGTTGCGAATGCTGGAGGTATATTCGTTCCCGCTCAGAAAGGCCCCCAACTCGGGCCAACGCCGGTTCAGCAGGTGCAAACAAGGCGTCCACAGGAACGCCTGCAAGAGATTCCAGACACCTACAGGTCAACGCCACGTAATCGTTGGCGTGTCCCTGGCCATCAGTTTCCGCCTTCACTGCAGGGCCAAAATCTGTCCATGCCCGTGAGGGGAAAATCTGCGCATGTATCTGCCGGACCAGCTGAGTCTGTGGCCCAGGAGGAGTCCCAACAGGGCCACTCCAGTACATCGTCAGTGAGTCTGTCCTCTTCGGCAAAACCGAAGTTCGATACGGATGCTGGTATTGGTGGACATATTCCTGTTTCCCCTCAGCAAAGCCCCTATCTCGGGCCAACGCCGGTTCAGCAGGTGCAAACAAGGCGTCCACAGGAACGCCTGCAAGAGATTCCAGACACCTACAGGTCAACGCCACGTAATCGTTGGCGTGTCCCTGGCCATCAGTTTCCGCCTTCACTGCAGGGCCAAAATCTGTCCATGCCCGTGAGGGGAAAATCTGCGCATGTATCTGCCGGACCAGCTGAGTCTGTGGCCCAGGAGGAGTCCCAACAGGGCCACTACAGTACATCGTCAGCGAGTCTGTCGTCTTCGACAGGTGGGAGGAGGTGGAGCAGCCAGCGGCATAAACCTACACGTGCTAAGCATAGTGAACGTCAATTGCCACATCGGAGCCCTCCTCCGTCGTAAGCAGGTTGGGCAGAAAACACTAATTCATGCAAGAGTGGCTTTTCCTGAAATCGCCGGAGTACGGTTAGTGGCTGGTGTACACTTCATTTTCGTCCGTGCCCCTCATCTTGTGGAGGGTATTTCTCAAGCTTTTCTCTTATCTGGGGTCCTTCTCCACAGCTTCATCTTCCATGTAGGCCGATATACAGTTGGGATCTCCGAGGGTCTGTTTGCGGCTGTTAGGGGTAGAGAGAAGAATATGGGCTTTTCTTAGGTATTCTACCGTTAACCAATATATACACAACTGGCCAAATCTGTTGCCTGGCCTGCTGGATAAAGCAACCACTGGCAATCCCAAGCATTCACAATTTTGCTATGGAGCAAAGTGCCACATGGCAACTTTCGAACCTGCCTGGGCTGGTTTCTGTGGGCTTTCACGCGCAGTGAGGTCCTGGCGAGACACGGGGAATCCCCGTTCGGTGCGTTGCAGTTATGCATACCGGAAGAGATCGACAACGCCAAGACTAGCTGTCCCCACTTCGTAGACTGAAATGCTGAACGACTCTGCTAACCTTTCAACGTTTGTGGAATGCAGGAAAGAGGAAGGACTGCTTTGTTTCATTTAAACAAAGGAGGGATATGCTTCGTTTTTCGCCATGAGGGTTTGTTGTATCAGTGCTCAGACACCGCATGAGATTTTGCTAGAATACTGCATAACCATTGTTTCTCCATCTTGCATAGGAGTCTTTAATGCGACGACCTTGCCAGCAGGTTGTTCAGATGATTCGGAAGTAGCACGGTGGGCCTGCGGATTTGGCGGTCGTTGGATTGCGGGCTTATGCAATACAGGTAGTGCTGCCCGCCGCAGCACTACCTGTATAGCAAAAGCCCGCAATCGGATCGGAGCTTAGCGTCCCACGAACAAAATGTGGCTCCTGGAGGCAATGTTTGATTGTTATATATGATATTACGGCCGGCAAGCTAACCTTCAGGGCCGGTTCCTTGGCTTTCACGCTTTTGCACTCAGCCACAAAATTTGTCACGCTGAGACTCCGGATGGACTGGGCAACTGATAGAAACAACGGCAGTGCAGACCGTATCCTTGCATCGCATGCCGAGAATCAAAACAAAAAAATGTTTCCAAAGGGGCTTTGGTAAGGTTGTTGCATACGAGTTGTTAGGGTTCTGGGCTATGTGAATCGGGAATCGGCTTCGAAAACAACAGGCTGCCACAGGACTGACGGTAGAGTACATGCCAACAAACCTGGAACGTGGTCAAGTTGCATGCTGGAGTGTGCCCACGTGCCATGGACCTAAGGGTCGGTAGAGCAACGCTGTGTAGAGGATGGCGACTACTGCTACTGGCTACTACTGCCATGCCACACACTGTGGGGGAGCTTGCCCCCGGGCGCCACAGGACATAGCCGTGTGATCTTATAACACCGTGCAGAAGCTCATTCCCTCAGTCTAGTCACAACATTCTTTGGGACATTCCACCTGTCCAATATAGGCGCAGGGCTTGTCAGCTGCAGATGCACTTGCAAACATCAGAGGATTGTCTGGCGCACCTTCCCCCATCCTTAATCCACATTCTAGGAAACAGCGGCAAATTGATTCAGATGCAATTCTCACACGGAATAGTTTAAAAGCGAGCTCTTCGCTGATACGGTATCTTCTTGTGCATCACGTAACAAGCAAAACAAGTGGCAGTCTGCCGGCGACTCTATCCCGAACCGCTAATGCTTTTCTCTCCCAAGAAATTTCCCCTCACACCGTGCAAACAGTTCGTGACTCGTATGGCTTAGTTTGTTCTCATCACTTTTGAAGCGCCCTTGCCATCCTTGTTGTGGTTCAAAAAGCGTGGTTGCGCCTGTCCACCAGATTGTCTTGACTAGCATTTTGTGAACAGGATAAACCACACTGTCATCGCTAGATTCCGCCAGCATCTCTGTAGTCCCGTCGATAGAGCGGAAGCATAGGGTTTGTGGCCTTCGACGATGAGTCAAATGTGGATTATGGTTTGTTTCGTACCCTGCGGGTACGGACGATAGACAATAGCAAGCAAGAGCTACATGTTGCATGGAGACGATGACACTCTGCGACATCCTGTAGCGTTTCTAACTCGCTGGCAAACTCCAGTTACTAATTTCTATCCCATGGTCCTAAATCCCTTCCTTCAACATGGCTGCAATGCCCTCATGAGTTTCTAGCATCCTACGCGGCAAGCGATGCCTTGGCTAGCAGGAAAGCAATGCCAAAATATCTACAAGGGCGGGGAAACTTTGGGTGCTTTCCCCAGTGCGCTAGGTACGGCTGCCCTATCTACGAACTAAGTTCCTCTATACGACGAAACTTGTGCGCCTTCCAAGTCCCAAGTACACTGCTTTTCCAGGTTAAGTACATATTTTCTCTAGTGCGACATATCCGAAGTTATTCGTAACAACATCCTATAATCTGACATCCTCCTGGACTCACGCGTCGGCTACTGGTGTCCACACGCGACATACCAGATCGCGTCATGGAGGCATATGCGTCTGGGTGTAAGAATTAGTCTGTACTTTACTCTGAAAAATGCTTGCAGCCGAGGGCCTATTTTTCGGCAGTAATCGTGAGCGTATCTGAAACGTTGGCTTCCACTGGTTGATTGCAACTCGAAGTAGCCTGCTAGCAGCTTAAGCAAGCCGTTGCTTCGTCAGACACTTCTGTAGTCTACTCCAGGCAATCAAATGCCGCATGTACATTTGAATACCTGGGCGTCTGTGGTTTGCCAACGAGGACGTTCACCGGAATGAACCAAAGCCGACCTCAACTAAAACGCTTCGCACTCCAGGATTGCCATGCTTCGCCCGCAGGTGACGCGAACTAAATCAGGGAACATAGCCGTGAGCAGCAACGGATTGGAGGACCATTGGCTGGGGGCTCCTTGCAACAAGCGCAGAGTTTAGTCATCAGTAGGGCACATTGTTGCACGGAGTTCAACTTGCATCGGGCGTGAAGCGAGAGCGTGCATCCAGTTGGAAGTACTGCATATCACAGGTAGCGGTTCTCGAACCAATCCTGCTTCTGCAGCTGGTCATAAGTGATTTTGCCTATGGGGTGAAACAAATGCTTCGTGTGGACGTTTAGCACCTGAAAGACCTACGGTTGATCTAAAACGGGCGGCGCAACGCAACAATAGCTGCCTCTCGCCTAGCTGACCTGCCCATACATAAGGCAAGACAACGGGCTTATTCACAGCAAATTGCATGCTGTTGGTACCGTTTTGCTCAGATCAAGTCGGTTAGCCAGCCAAGCAAGACTAGAATGCATCCGGAATGGACAGCAGATAAGCAACGCAACCCTAATGCAGATGCCTACACAATACAGCAAACGTTCGTGACAATGTCGGGGGGACAGGAAATGTCGGTGTGCGTCCACACCTTTTTATTGCCCGTCGTATACCCATGGCCACAGCCGTCACGCATATAAGCAACAACAGCAGCTCCACTGCTGCAATTAGCTCCCGCGGAATTGCGTCTTTGAGCCAGTCAGGCAACCAGTCAGTCAGGAATGCAAGCAGTTCAAACTTTTGTTTCGCTGCTGAACGGTCGAAGAAGGTGTACCTCTCTTTAAGAAAATCACACAGGTGCACGCAACAGAGATGCTCACCACTGTAGCGCTGCCACTGGAACAAAACTTGTGTCTGGGTGTGTACAACTAGGGTTGGGCATACCGATCAAACATATATATTTCCTTACTCACCGATCGTTGTGTACGACGCATACTCCCCAAATGGCCCAGTCCTGAGAGACGACAGTGGCTCCGCCAGCTGTTCCTGAAGAGCCAGAAGAACTTCAGCTGCTGTAAGCTGCCTTAAGTTGTCTGATCCATCTAGATACGATGGCCCGTCGCCTGTTGGAGGGTGGATCCGAATTGTAGCATTGATGCTTCCTTCGCACATGTTATGGACCTCAATGCGCTTTCGATCACCTAGAGCTGGGATTGCCTGCAGAGCGAAAGGCCGGTCCTCCGGTTTTTTTTTTCGAGCCACACATATGTAGGTCATGGATTTCAGAGCTTTCGATGGCCCTTCAAGATTTCTCTGACGACAGAGACGAATATTCAGGGGAATTTATTTCTGTCTTCAGATTCGGACAACAATTTCTCGTTTGTCGGTGGGAGCCCGTGTACGTTAACTAGTGGATAAGGCTTCATATCATTTATGGCGTGACAAGATGAAAGCCTTAGCTTACCTGTAATATCGCATCGATCAACGCCTCTTTAAGCATGTCCTTCCCTCCAGCAGCTGCAATGGTTTTCTGATAGTCCATGGCAATAGAAATCTCCGCCTCAGCTGTGGAGGGGCTGGCAACGCACTGACGGCCGTCGCCTTCGTAGCCATCAACGCAACTACAAAAGTATCCTCCGCTGGTGTTGACGCAGGTTGCAACAGACGGAGGTGCGCAGCTTGCAAGGCCATTGGAGCATTCGTCAACATCAACACAGCCTCCGCTGTTCAGCCGCAGACAGCGACGAGGGCTCTTTCCATTCAAGTATTACCTTTTCACTAGCATATGCCTCTCCGCTCTTCCGCATCGTGCGAGCCACACTGTATATATGCAGTTCTTGGTTTTTGAGTGCAGCATGCAACTCTTACCTCTCCATCGTGTACCCTTCGCGGCAGCCGCATGATCCATCATCCAGGCAGTGGAGCGAAGGAGGGCATAGTGGTCGGTTGTTCTGGTCTACGCAAAGACGTTCTGGAGGGCTGTGAAAACCAAGGAAGCAAGGTGCCACGTGTCGTGTGGCTGCACCGTTGAAGTCTCACTCCGCGTCGGTGTACGAAAACTTGTGAAAAGCAGCATAAGGATGCAGTCATCGTGCTTCATTCCACCGCCGGCAAAGGTCGTGAACTGCATAGGTTCCGTACCTGTGGTTGTGGTTGCTGAGCCTGAAGGTACATCATAACGTTTCACTCCCATGTTACCCCCTGGTGTGATGTGTTCCTCTTTCCCAAATTGGAGGCACCCCTGCACTGGCACAAGTGATATCGTCCTTTAAACTGTTTTGTTTCGAAAATATGTGTTGTTGGCTACACTGAAATGGTGCTTTCCTCTAGTATGCAGTGTATTCCTAGGCCATGGCTATGCCTGGAAAATACAAATCGGCTAACTCAAGGTGCGGACGTACATGCAAACATCCCTGCCGTCGCCGGTGTATCCAGGCTGTTGCATGATACACAAAAACAGAATATAAATGTGTAAAGTGTGACCGCATGCGTACTATATATGTTTTTGTTTTTTTCCAAACCCAGAAATTGTTGCTTTCACGGACGAGTTGTGTGTCACATATCTACTCTTTCAGTGCTTGTGTTTCCCGCAACAGGAAAAACAGAGACAGCAGGGTGCGTACTTTGCATATGCATCTATAACTGCCTTTCGTATTGATGCAAACGGCCTTGCTGTGGCATACTGCTCCTGCGAAGACTTCACACTCGTTGATATCTTCGCAGGTGGTTCCATCTCCAGTGTAGCCTTTGGGGCACCTGTACGGTTAATGCATATGGCAAAATTAGGGAAGTCTCGTTGGGATATGATGAATCACAGTCCAGAAATTCCCGGTCAAATAAACGATTACCAAGCACGCCTTCTGCGTCCAGCTTCAATGGCGTGGGTTACTTGAGTCCATTCAAGACTCACCTACACACGTAGCGCCCTCTTGGTCCTTCCCATATAGTTGCTACTAGAGGTGATTCCTGATGAAGTGAGCAAGGATCGGCACGAAAATAGAACTCTCGATTATATACAATTTTGATGCGTGCTGTCAATATCCAAAGGCCAGAACAGTGTGGCAGACGACACAAAAATATGCGGACCAGGTTTTACTCCCTATGGGTTGTCGCAAGCTCCATGTCAGTGCTGCACTATAATACAACGCTACAATTGGCAGGGTTCGCCAGAAATAGATGGGGGGCTGCGCAGGGTCAGCTTGTGACATCTTGCCTGAGAGCTGGGCTTCATGGTGATCGTTTCTGCTTCCTCTCGTCTGGCTCCACGAACTCCCATTTTTTCCTTTGGGTGCTCCTTAGGCATTCGGATCCCTCTCCCATCAGTAGGATCGTCATACGCTTCACAGAGAGCTATTTGAGAACATCGATTTCCCACGCATGCTCCTTTGGGCTACAGTTAGAGACAGGTCGAGCCACGCATAAATAGAAGCATTAGAGCACACCTGGACCGCTTATTAGTAGATTCACGTCCTACCTACGTTTCTACACAGTAATGCAAGCATGAAGCGGTTCTGTGAATGAACAGGTGTTGGTGTTTCTCACTTCTTGTTGCTCGAGAAGCTGTTCTGCAGCAGGATTACGGTGGGGGCAGTCGCCTCGGTCAAAGCCGTATCTGCGGCAAGCCAACCATGTCAAGCGCGCGGAAAAGATGATACCCGTATTGCCAATGGATGTATGATGCAAAAATGCCCAGTGTGTCTTCACAGTTAAAGCTGCTTGCTGAGGAGTCGAGATGCAGCGAGGAAGTTTCCCCTCAGAATACTTACATTCCAGTGTCACACAACTCATCGCATATGCCGTCTCCAAGCCAGTGAGACTGGCAGCCGGAAGGCGACGAAAAAATACTGGAGGTCTCGGTTGTGCTTGGCATAAAGTCGCCGAAGAAAAGCGAATGCGCTACCGATTCCCAAATGCTTTGGTGTGCAAGCGCTTTCGGTTCAACCAGCGGCACTGAGCTGGCTGCGACGGCTCTCTGGTCGAGTATGTCTTGCAGAATAAATCCAACAACCGACTGTATAAGAATAAGCGTAAATGAGCACTTTACTTACTAAATGAGCGACTTACACGGTCACTCGCGGCAGTCCTACTCTACTAAACCATGCTTAGCAATTCGTACCCTTTGTTCTTGACCGTTGGCGAAACGGGATTTGGCTCGATGATCGCGAAGTATTGTTGATATACTAGCCGGCTGGAGGAATAGTTTGCCAACGTCAGATTCTACGTTCCAGAAGAAAGTCACATCTCCGACAGACTCCTCAAGGACGACAGCTGTGACGTTCTCCGGTGGAATCTCGCGGCTTTGCTCCCCTCCAAAGTTCACGCCATTTGTGCCAGTCTCCTCAGAGGGTGAGGGACCGCTAAAACCTGTACCTTTCCCAGAACTCAATGCAGAGAGCTTCTTACTTATGATATGGCTTGCATTTTGTTGCTGTGCCTTCTCGATGCCAGCTGCACCCCGTTTGCCGTGTTTCTGTGACTCCCCGTCTCCTTTCTGCACAGGCGAACATGTGCGTTACACATAAAACGCGGCGTTTTTCGTCAGATAGATAGCGCTTTTAGCTCACACGGCGCTATGGGTACTCTCCATGAGCAGGTTAGGCAGAGCATACGACTTTCCGGGGGATAGAGGAGCCTCCTTCGGTGTCGTCGTAAGGTAGTGCCATTCTGCGGAGGCGATGCTCTATTGGAACCAGTAAGCCTCCTCTTGACCGCGGCCACTCCGTTGTTTGCTCATTCTCTACCACGTAAAGGGCCTGTGCAATTCAATAATTACATGTGTTGCCCTGGAGAAGTTCTTGCACGAGGGCAGTAAGTACGTCCAACCTACCGGAGAACGCATGATGCACCGGGTACTACCTAGCGGTTAGAGGCGCAGTAGGGCAGCTGTTCCTCACCAGCTCGCTCGACGCTGCTTGCCCTTCATCCCAAGAGGCCAGAAGGAATGCTCTTGCTCCACATTGGCGCTTGTTTTCTTCCCGCCTTTGAGGCTCTCGTCCTAGACGCTCGTGGATCAACCAGGACGGCGAACCAACTCTCTTGCTGGATAGGTGACGTAGATTAAGATATTCTAAAGAGTCATGACTTCTCTCTGTCGATGCATACCCAGACTCGGGCTTTCGGCTGTTGGAAGCCGTCTTAGCTGTAGTTTCTAATGTGATTTCAGGCTTCTGTGGCAGACTGTCGGGAATGCCGATGCCGCCGTTATTTGTTGATGGCATACCCAGTGGGAGAACAAGTTTAGAGAGGACGCGACGCCTCCCAAGCGTTTCCTCAGAATCTGGGGACTCGGTGGAAAAATAGCGGAGGCCCTGAAGAGCGCGCCTCTCAAAACCAGAAGTTCCCGTCTGCCTCTTTCCTGTGTGTCCGTCTGCAGTGAGAATGGTTGCCAAACCGGTTTGAACTCTCTCGGGCCTATCCAGAGTCTCTGTGTGTAATACAGTGTCTTTCAAACATTCAGCATCCAGTGCATCTTTGAAGAATAGGAAGGGGAAGCTAAACGTCGTTGCCTAAGGCACGACACAGCACAGCAGGCGACATGAGGCTGTGAGGCAACAGTTATACCGGCAAAACACAATTGGAACCCCAAGGGGAACATACTCAAACCCTCGCCCCCACCAGTGCAAAATTTCTGTAACAGGCCTACTCTCCCTTGTCCAAGTCGGGACGACTCTGAGCCTTCTTGCATCGCAACAACAACTGCTTCTACGCTACCAGAACTTCCTCGCCTTTGGCTTTGGGGTCGGGGGTCTTTCAGTACGTCGTCGAAGTCCAGCTGTTGCTTCAGAATCCATACGTGGGTATTCCACCAACCCTGAACTACGGTAAATTCTCGAAGAGCGGCAACTTCTTCTGCTTCTTCTCGTCGTGCATGTAAGCCGTTCTTGCCAGATGCATCTTCTGAGCCACTATTAACGCGTTGGACATCGATGGGAACTTCTCCGAAATTTAGCGGAACGGAAGATGTCTTCACCTCTGCATCTGTCATAGTTGCTTGAGCTGTGCTCGTTATAATTATGTCAGGATGATTACCTTTGAGGGCACTTGCTGCAAATCCTGTGGTTGGGGTGACACAGAAAAAGGCGCCGGAATCACACTATGAGGCTACATTCAAAAAGGAACGTGCCTTTATTATGTTAGTGAGTGGGCGAATACGGGGGCCAGCTGCTTTGCCTTAATTGCACCAGGACGCATCCACCATATCCTGATATGCTCTGTCCATATATCCTTCGAAAATCACAGTGTCTGCAGACTGCAAAGAGGTATGCTGGATGTATTCCGCGTATGCCAGTTGGCTAGTGCCCAACTCTAACGGGGCGCACAAAACTGAAGGGCAGGGCAACGCACCTCTGAACATCATTGCTGAGACAACGGTGGCTGGGACCACAGCTGAAATTCCGATAGTTGCCAGTGAATCCTTTTCGGGAAGTGGCTTGAGAACTCGGCTGCAGAGAACGCCGAACCACTGAGGAGCTTCTGCGGCATGGTGGGGCAACGGGCTTGCACCGTCCCGTCCTATTACTCCAGAGCCTCCCCATGGAGAGTAGCAGACACTGCCCTTTCGATTTGACAGCACGGATGTAACGAATGAAGAAAACTTTGTGCGGATGGTGCTGGTGTAACGGCGAGCCCAGCTGCCTGCACTTCGGTGCGCTTTACAATTGACCTGCATATGCATATGCAAATCGACATTTCTGTTCATCGACAGCAGTTCATATAGCCTTTGAAAAATGAGCTGCTTTCTGTTTGGTTGACGGCTGCAGTCTCATGACACGGTTTGTTAGGCCCATCATGGAGGCACATGACCAATCGAAGTTAATTATATCTAGCTGAACCATTAAGCAGCACCGGGAGAACAAACTAGTCTGAACAGGGTACAGACTGGTCTTTCAGATTCATATGAAAGAGAACGAATGGCATTTGGAACACACATGTGCACCCAGGAGAAGAAAAATGCACAGATGCGTATGGTACTCTAGTGCTTCATACGATCAAGGCTCACCGCCATGTTTGGATCGGGGAAGTATATGCTAAGTCCACCATATCTGCCGGGTTCCCTGCTACCAACCTCCGCCACAATCATTTTTCTGAAGAGGACCCGCGCCGCCACAACCTTATCCGTCAAGGCTCTTTGCGCAGCACCAAGGGCATTAACTGTGTGTACTTGTTGAGTCCATTGCTGTAGTAGTCGGTTCTGAGTTATTAGTGGGTTGGTCGGCTTCTTTAAATCGTCAAGAGCCCATGGCGCTACGTTATCCTGTCTACGGGATTGAAGGGTGATCCTTCCCATATCATGTTCGTCGCTAGCAAACTGCTGCAAGAGGCTCGCGAGGAAATCGTTCAAATCGTAACAGCTACATAGACCCAGCATTTGGCACCCCCTAATGCTGAAGGTCTGCGAAAGGGCTCGCCTTACCCGACGTGTGATGTTGCTTCCCCCGCAGGAATACAGACCCTGATCCAGATGAAAGCCATCCACAGATACGGCGAGCAAATTACCCAGCAGAGGTTCCAAAAACAAACGCACACAGGTCTCTACCAGATGGCCGACAAGAGTATGACGCTATTTGCGCCTGACGCCGTGGCTGTGTTTGGCTCTTAAATGTGAAGATTAATGGAAACTTCAGCATAGGTCTAGCTTTCCCCACTTCTTATGGGGACAAAACATTCGATACGTCCTAGGGAACAAAATAATTCTGCTATATACTATACAGGATACAGCAAAATCCATTCACGCCGCACCTCTAACAACTCTTCAAACTTCTTTTTGAACTCATTGAATGCCCGCACTTCGATTAGAGCAAGTGTCAGAGCATTTGACGAAGGTGGATGAAGGCCATAACTCGTAACGAACCTTGTGCCGTACTCGAATGCTGTAGCCGTCCGGTAAGGAGGTGGTGGCTTGCGGATCAGAGAGGTTGGGTCCATGGATCTGTCAGGCAAGTTGAGGAGTGATAAATTCACCCAAGAAAAATTCCGGACCGGTAGTCTCAGTGTTCTCCAATAGAACGCAAATCACAATGAGCCAGGGCTTATCAGCTGGGTCCCCTCTCAAAGAGTCTACGTATAGGTAAGTTAGGCAATAGACTTGCCTGTAGTTCCATCCATGGCCAGGTTCATTTTCCTCGCTAGCAAGGAAGAAATGTGTCAATGGAGCGAGGGCTTCCAAGACATCGTACGAACCCATGAGACAGGCATCGAAGCCAAGGAGTGAAAGGCGAAAAGAGCGATCTACCTTTCCTAGTTTACTTCGTGATATGCCACTGCAAAAGATGTTCCAAACACCTAGCAGAGAAAATAACAACTAATTGTGAGCCACAAGGAAGCTCCCCTTTATGGAACAGGGACTTACGTCTTTAGTCCAACAGCAATGTCGTGGATGCTCATAGGTTGGTTGTTTGGGTTGCTTTCGTCGTCGCCAAACCCTGCCCAGGCTGATCCGTGATTCCAAAGAATTACCGCATAGTGCCTCGATGGAAATATGTCAAGGAACCGCGTCACTGCAGTCCCCAAAACTCCAGGATCATTCATGTCTACCTAAAGAACAAAAAGCGCAGCGAATGTGAGAAGCGTTTGGATTCGCGTCAACACCCATCTTGCACGTGTAACGGCCTACTACTGTAGTGTAGAATAGGTTGCCGAGGGACGCTGATAATTAACCTGCTGTTACAGTGTGCTATAACAAAACACGTTTACGTCGAAGGTCCCCACAGCCCAACACAAGGCTGACTTGAGAAGCCCAGATTTTTCAGGCTGCTACTCCACCATCCCGTTGCTGGTGACTCTATGACGCTGTTAGTCACGAAAGCCTATTTTTGTAGGGTGAAGCCTGGCCCTTATGGGTTGCTTTCTCACCTCTCCAAGGCTGCGGAGGAGCAGCCATTCCCGCCTACCATCTTGCAAGTGGACCCGTAGCAATTCGAATGCCATTTGAGCATTCAACTCAACTTCACTTGTACCAGGTAGTTGTTTGACACCTTCACCTAGAATTGAATACTCCAACTCAGGACACGCATGTACCGTCCCCATATCTGTCGAACTCTTCTGGCTGCTCCGGTCTATTAGAACTACCAGGTAGAGGTCTTCGAGGGCCTCTTGGGAAGTCAATCCGCTCAGCGCGGAACCGCCGACGGGTAAAGGGGGGGTGCCTCTCCCTCGCAGGGCAGCCCGCGCATGCCGTTTCACTATTTCACCTCTCCATGGGTGCAACATCTCTTCCAAGTCCAGCAAGGCGGACTCTTCCAAGTTATTGTCTGCATGAACAAACATGAGCTGAGACCAGGCGCGAATTGGCATGTCGCCAATTTTGCGGGGCAAGGATTCACAGAGAGAACGTCGCGGAAGGAAAGATGGGCCCTTTCTAGTTGGTCCCTTCTCCAATGAGGCTGCCACCTTTGGATCCCCTGTGCGGCGGGCAGCAGGTACGGAAGAGGCAACACTGACTATAGCCTGGAGAAGAGCAGTAAAGCCGTTTGTATCCTCCTCATTCGAGGTAGTTTTTGTGGTTTCTTGTACTCCTAGTGACTCCTCAATGACGCTCTGCTGTTGCAATCCGGTCATAGGTAATTCCTCATCGGAGCGCCTTAGATCTAGACAGCGCCCCGTGCCGTCTCTATAGAGTGGATGAAAAACATGGCGTGATCCTTTGCAAGCTAGGCAATTATCTGGCTTTCCACGGCAGCAGTCCGCACGACAGACAGAACACGTTGGGTGACAGTGGCTCGCTTTTCTGGAGCTCAACGTGCCACCAAATGGCCACCATGGTGCTCCCGAATTCGCCACTGTGCCCAAGCCCGGGGAGACGCATTCCAACTCTGTGGCCTCGTCGCTGTCGTCCCCAAATTCTAACGGAATGCAATAACCACTACCATCCCGATGGGCGGCTACGAGGGCATAATATTGCACTTCCGGGAACTGTGGGTCAATGATGTCGAGGCGAAGGCTATCAGTGGATGAAGAAAGGCGCCTAGGCTTTGGTGGCAGGTAGGGGTAGGGCAGTTGGTTAGGGCATGCGCGGCAGCGGTCGCGACCGGGCTCTTGGCAGCTTTGACAGCTCTTGTGGCACGGGCCATTCCAAGAGTATGCGGCTGCACCTCCTGAATTAAACCTACTGCCTGCAATTACCCTCTCTGTAGCCAAACGGCGAGCCCACTTTGTGTCTAACTGGGGGAGGCCAGCTGGATGAACAAAATTATGAAATAGCCTGGCATGCAAAACTGGCCCTGGAGGTTTGACAGGAGCCGAAACGTGAGATTTCAAGTTTGACTGGTGTTCTAGATATTCTTCCTGTGCCAAGAGAGTTTTTGACATAGATTCTGTGTCCACAGCTCCTGAGTTTTCAACGGATATGTATGTGGGAGGGAAAGTGTTTTTGGCGGCTGTATTCTGCTGATGCACTGGCAGACCACATGGCGCCACCATCACATCTCCCAGGGTCCAACATCGGCAGGAGGGTATTGCTGCCTTGGGAAGATAACTTTCAAAAAAGTTGGCGGACTCGCGTATTTCATCCCAATTAGCAGACTGAAGGAGGCTTGCTTCATTGAGTTCCTCCGTAGGCTCCGCAGTAACACAGTAAGATCGAGGTACAAAACAGAAGTCAGTCGACTCCACTGTTAGTCCCAGGGAACATGTTGATCCTTGCATGGCAGCATAGCGCAACCCCGTGCAAGCACATAGTGGTAAACTGTAGTGCCCAGCCTTTGGAAGGGACAGCAGTAATACATCTTTGGTTGAACCAGTCGGGTTTGCCCCAGCCAGCGTCGTCTCTACTGTGAGAGAATGCACAGCTGAGCAGACACAGTCAAACACTCACACGCGTTGCGCGGTAGGTGCAGGGGAATCGGGGGATGAAAAACCTTTGATGAAGGGTAAGAAACCTTTGCTATGCCACCTTCGCGGTGTTGCCCCTTGCTCGCATTGACACCGCAACGCAACAGTAGTCAAGGAAGGCTGCCAGTGCTGTTGAATGTATGTTGCTTGGCGTACCTTCTGCGGAGTTGTTGAGCAATGCTGAGCAGAGGAAATACCGAAGAATAACGACAAAAACGGTAAGGTCTGGAGAACGGCTCGCCCCGTCCGACATCCTCCTACAGAGCTTCCTGTAGTTGAGTAAAGAAAAACTACTATGGTTGGTGCAGCTTCATGAGAGGCAGGCGTATTAATGTGAACAAGAAGGTCAAGACTGGCATTGGAGTTGCTCTTGAACACTACAGGGCTGTCTAGCCCTGAGTCAGCGCAATCCAGAGAAAACCGACAACAGTACCACCGGAAGAGTTGGTTGAGCAGGCTCAGTGCAACTATCCTAATAGAGTGGCTGCTATTAATGGCAGCTTAACAGCGACAACTTCCAGCTCGCCGACGGGAGACTCTGCCAGCCACAGCTCTAAGAAGGTGGAGGAACAGCTTGTACTAATAGCAGAAATCCTGCACAAGACAGTGTAATATGTGCTGAGCTGCTCATTGAGGGGAGCTCGGTGGGTTTCCGTCCCCGAATAACAGGTTAGCTGGGGATGGGATTGCAGGTGACCCTCATCATGATGAGCCCAAATCCCGGTTCTCCATTGCCTTTGTTAGCTTCAAAAATACGTATTTATAAGCAAAATGACAGGTCTTCATCTGCTGTATTGTTCCTTGCCTCTTTAACTGGGACTCCGCTTAAGCAACTCCGCGTTGCCTATCCGCAGTGGAATGGCTGCACTACATGATGTTTAGCCGGTGGTTCCTCCGACAGCTCTCAGAATGACACATCTCTAGCCCCTTATATTCTACTTTGATTGTGATCAGGTAACGAACTGCAAGTGATCAAAACTAGCAAAAAGTTAGTTTAGACATGCCCTCGCCGCAGCCCCAGATCAGCTCAAAACAGACACGGCAAGACATATGTTGAAGGGTGCTGGAGGGGTGAACACATAACATTCGAAATTGTTTATTCTTCAAATGACAGTTACTGAGGAAGTTGTTTTTGTCCAATGGCTGGCAGGTGGTTCAGTGTATGTTGTCTGAACACGTCGAACAGCCAGCTCGCAATGCAGCGTTTGCTGTTCAGAGTTGGTGCGACTATTTCTAGTCGTCTACAAGCTGCTCATTAGAGGAAAAAGAATGGTTTGGCAACTGTCTACAGTGGTACAACTAGTAATGCAGGTGTGGCGTTGCTTGCGCATGAGACTGCCGCGCGCCAGGAATTGCACCATCGGGAGCTGCAACTCATGGTAGGTAATCTCCTCCCCTTAGCATTCCCATGTCCTTAACCAACCTAGTTCAGGGAATCTGGTGAATGTAGGGGAGGCGAAGGACTTGGTTCGAAGGGGGTCAGATGCGAGGCATTTTGACTGTAGTGGAGCTCACGACGGCTGTCCGCGCAGCTGGAGGGCTCTCCTTGCACGTTCATAACATGGCAGAGAAGGGATGACTGAGCTTCGAAACCCATCAACACACGTTGGAGTCATGAATGACACTGGTTAGTTGTGAAGGGTCCATGCAAGAAGCTGGAGGAAAAAAATGTCTAGATATCCTTCACGAACGTTCTTGACAATTCCGTCTTTAATCGGCTCCATTACGGATATAAATCAGTATCTTCCCTCTGGCGTGGAAGCGACTGGCATCTGGGCGCCTCGTTGTATTTGAACAAGGACAGTTTCCGCGTCCCACCAAGCTGACAGAGTTTTCACTATGACAGCACAGGCTGAACTTGCTTTGCGAACAATCTTTGTGGATAGAGTGAGCTACTGCATCTCTCGTTGTGACGAATACTAATTTTATCCCCTACAGTAAGAGGAGGGAAATCAGTGCTCATGGAGAAAAAAGAACACGAGACTCCGATGCAGCACGCGGGCGCTGCAGGAAGAGACGGGATAATTCCTGCACTACATCGTTTGGAGCTTGCGGAGACCACATTTTCGGATGGTTCCATCACACTGCAGCGCCGAAAGCGGCAGACATGGCGTAGGTAAAGGAAGCGTTCTCAGAAGAATTAAGCAATGGAGGGGTTTTCATGGGGCCAGCCACCTGCCGGTCGCACATGAACCACTACGGAACCCCTACTGGCGCAGGCCCAAGGTCTGTTCCGAGGTACAGATGACTCTGATAACTTAAGAATAAATTGATAGGTAACCTCGTAAACTGATAAGCTGATAAGAAAAGGCAAAAATTGGCTTCCAGTCGGCGCGAGGGAAGACAACCCAGTGCTGGTAGAGAAGAGGGACGAGCGATGACAGGATACCGTCTTCTTCAAGTGCCCCAATAAACTACTGATTCAGCCAATACCTCGCAGGTTGCAGATTTGTCGTTATGACTTCTGAAGAAAAAATGCGCGACTAGCTTCAGCAGTCCATAGGGGGCTTCACTTGACAAATGATAGAGTAGAAAGTTTCTGTTAGTCGCTCCGATGCTCCTCTCAGCCGAAGACTTCGGCCCCACTCTCATGATTTCGATCAAATAACCCCTTGACACATTCTTAGATCCTGAGTCGAGGACAAATCCTCATGGTCTGGACGGATGTCTCATAGGATTTCACTATGGATTGTCAGCCGTTGGAGGATATGCCAGCAAGTACGGCGTTGTAGAAATATGCGTTCATTAACTCTTGCTCGGATTCAATCGGAACAATCGAGGTAAATATGACTTAATTATTCATGTGCAGCCTCTGGCAGCAACCGCCACTGTGGGGCATCATTTCGGCATAAGATCAAAGGTAGTAGATGCCCTCCAGTGGGAACTCGATGAGGAAGAACAACACGACAGCGGCAAACAGGCAGGAGGCAAGCGCCTAAGGTGAATGCGTCAACACCATACCCGTTCAGTTTTTGTTTGTCTATACCCAAAGAAACTCTTCCACGTGCTCAATTCCCTACCTTGTGCAGCATAGCTGCATAAAACAGAAGTGCACCCTTCAGTCTATCACTTCCTAACCCCCCTAGTCTGCATTGAGACAGCTTCACATGACCCCAATGTGAGGGCTGGCCGTCGGAGGCAAGCCCCCTGAGGCCGAAGTTGCCGTCTCCCATACACTACTTGCAGGAAAGCAGGAATGCATAAAGAAACATACGAATTCCAGCCAAGACACTAGAACGCTTTTCAACCAAGGAGGTCGGATCTATCGAATTGTCATTTCCAGTAAAGGGAGCGGCCGAAGAAATCCCGTATGCAGCTGACCTCCGAAGCCCAGGTCTAAGAGCGGGTCAACCAAAAGTGTCTTGGTGTACAGTAAGGAAGCCGAACAGCCAAAAGTGGTGGCGTGCACTGCTGCATTATAAACTCATCCCACAAAAGGGAGTCAAGCAAGCCACTTCGAACATTTCTGCTTGGTATGGAGTCGCATTAATTGAAGTAGCGTGCAGGTGCTGCGTTCTGTGTGACCATCTGCCTCCAGATGGTTTGCTGTTGTCATGTTTTGCAAAGCCAGGGAACAAGATCACCGGGAACGAGGTCAGGTGTGTGTGAGATGCAACTTCACTGCGTGCCCGAAAAAGCTGCTTGTCCGTTTTTAGTAGGCAGATTAAGTGGGGGCATTGCGGGAGAATCCGGGGCTGAAGGTGCAGTACTACAATGCAAGAGTGAAAAGCATTTTGCTGTCCGTGCCAATGTACAAAGGTACCGCTCAACGGATTTGGCTCGACTCCCACGGCAGGAACACGAAACCCTGAGATGCTAATTATTTCCATAGAAACGATCCTTTTTGCGCTCTCATGACCCACGGCTTCTCGAGTAGCATCTAGAGTGCCTTTGACGGGGTATTTTCCATAAAGTAGTTTTGCTGAAAAAAAAAATTGTAACTTGGCAGTTTAACTCGACCTGGCTCCCAACGGTTCGACTCTTTGCCAGTAAATGGCAGATCTTAATTAATCTTCCTTGTGCTAGGAAAGTAAATAGCCGAGATTTTACGTTGATTTGGGTGGAATTCGGAGAGAAAATTTTCTTATATATGCATATGTTTAACACTGCCGATGCAACTCACGGCTATTTTTCAGGCTTTCCTGCTATGAGGATGATGTTAATTGTTCACGGGACCACACTGTAAACTATGCGGTGGCATGAAAAGCATAAGACTGGCCCTAGACCTTCTATTAATGGACAAGATCCAGGACCCGACTTGTAGGAAAGCTCCATTCATGTATATGGGGCGGTACTAAAACAAAACTGAACTCCCACATTTGTATCCGGGTATGCTGGGCTCATTTGGCTCAAGCGTCTGGAGCTGCAGGAGAGGAGACGATTTGCCATGACTTGCAGCGCACCTTGCTGCATCTCAAGGTGCAAGTTGAGCCCCACATCCAAGGACAAAAAAAAATTCTTGGCTGTGTGTACGAACACTGAAGACAGTTGTTAAATACTTTTGCCTGCATACTGTTTGTCTCGTCGTGCGCGGTAAGACTTCTCGTGCCCACTTGAGACAAACTTCTCAGGAGGGCTGAGACTATGCTACAAACTATGTAACAATTTACGCATGCATCCCCTTCAAAGCTCAAAATGAACAATACAGGCCACCGTGAATGCCTATTTGATCCTTTAATCTCCTTCTTAATCCTTTAAGAAAGTGGCTGCTGTGTGGTGTCCCTCTTGAGCGTTGTTGTTCGTGTGTGTAGTAGCTAGTTGCTCGTGCGCTCGCTCGTCTCTCCCCATCAAAACCAGAAAAAGAACGTAATATGTCCGTGGGTATGGCAAGCTGGATAGGAGGTATATTTTATTTACTTCTTTTCAGAACACTCTAGAAGAAAAGGGGGCAAAGGGTGAGGAACGTTGTTCAGGTGCAGGGAGAATGTTGTGGAGCTGTGTAGTCTCCATCATAAGGGGCTTCTATACATGAAGAATGTTGTGTGACTATATAATGGTAAGGAATTGTATTTTATATATTAGAAATACATAATGATGTGTTTTATTCAAGTACTTTACCTTCAACACAGATTATTCAACTTCCTGCTGCTGCCTGCTGTTCATACACACCACGTGGGCCAGGTGACGACCGCACAACAACAGCCGACGGCAGCCAGCATGCAGTGGGAAGTTGGATGTTTTTCTTTATTTTTGCATTAAATTCATTAACTAATTTCATTTTTTATTGAATAAGACCAGAAAATTGAGCGTTAAAACGGCGGAAGGGGCCGGGGGCCCAAGAACTCCCGACCCACCGCCTCCTTGTTTGCTCATTCAGCTTTTTTCTTTAGGTCGCTTGCATCAACTGAATGTACAGGACCTTCTTCCTAATTGTCCATTACCTGAGGTGTATGTACACCTTGATTGAGGTGTATAGGCACCTCAAACCCATTCAACTCCTCACCATCTACCCTAGTAGTACTATATCTAGTTATATTATATTTATATGTATATATATACACCTTGTGCAGCACAACAGGCAGCACAACCCTTGCAGCAGCACAACCTTTGCTGCTGTGTTGCCGTCACACAGAGGAAAGAAAAGGGGCGGGGGGATTCATTGATGGAGGAGTAGAGGAAAGCAGCAGCAGCTGCTGCAGCATGCATGCATTGTATGAATAAATAAATACACTGTATAAATATATAAATATATATTATTATTTGTATACATATATACAACATAGTTTACTATATATTTATACTCCTTATTTTCTTTCTTTTTTATTATAATAATATATACCTTTTATTATTTATTTTTTTCTTCCTCCCCCTATTGTTATAAGGAGAAGAACAGCCATGGCGCTGCAGCAGCAGCTGCAGCAGTTGCAGTATCAGCAGCAACAGCAGCAGCAGCAGCAGCAGGTTATATTTGAGTGTCACTGCAGCACAACAATTCCTGGTCAATTTGTTGCAGTAGTTGGATCTATTCCTCAATTAGGTTCATGGCAAGTAAATAGGGCAATTCGTCTACATACTTCTTCTTCTTCTTTTCCCTTATGGTCCTCTTCTCCTATTTACCTACCAGCAGCAGCAGCAGCAGGAGGAGCAGCAGCAGGAGCAGCAGCAGGAGGAGCAGCAGGAGGAGGGGGGGACCCCACGTCCACCTCGTCTGTAGGTAGGGAGTTGAATAGTTGTGCTGCTTCTGCTGTTCCTTTTGCTGCTGTTGGGTCTGCTGCTGCTGCAGCAGCAGCAGCAGCAGCAGATACACCTATTGAATATAAATTTATTATTGTTGGGCCTGAGGCCTCCCGTGTCTGCTGGGAGCAGCTAGCAGCAAATCGTTTGCTGCTGCTGCTGCAGCATAGGGGGGGCCCCCGTAGTATATGCTGCTGTCGTGCCCGATTCGGTGAAGAAAATGAAGAGGTATTGCTGCTGCAGCAAGGGGCCCCTCCTCTAAATAGGAGGCAGCAGCAGCAGCAGCAGCAGCAGCACGAAGCAGCATGGATGGGTCGTACAAGAGAATCTTTTTTCTCTTCTTCTCTTAGGA